CACTAAGGCCGGTTTCTGCATGTGCAGAGCCTGGGCCTCACAGGCTGTGTGAGAAGAAACAGGGTGTCCGTAGGAATCAGGGTCCTGGGGCTACCTCGGGCACTGACTTAACCCCTGCTGCTCATGCCAAGATAGGAGGAACACGTCTTTTTTTCTGGGGAGTGCTCAGCTCTGGAAAGAAGACCCCAAGAAGCTGGGAGGGTGGTCAGGGAACCCCATCCTCTGCCGCCCACTGACTTGGGTCCACGCAGGGACACCCACCCAACCTCAGATCTGACACAGTAGCCCCTTCTGTCTCCCTACTGGCCCATGGGGCACCCCCAGGACCATGAGTTCCACCACGGACAGGACAACTGGGCCACCACGGGAACTGACTCAGGGTCGCGGCTGGTCCAGCCTCTGGTCTCTGCTCTTGGGCAACTGCAGGGTGCTACAGAGAGTAAGGGACTCTGCTGTGGCTCTGAGAGTGACTTCTCCTCTTTGAGCCTCAGTTTCAACATCTGTTAAGCATATGTGATGGTGGGACCTGCCCTGTAGGGTTGTGCGAAGGCATGTGAGCGTATGACACCTGGAACCAGGCTTGCGTGCGGGTCCCTCAGAGGGATCAGCCCACAGCCTCTCTGGCTTGTCTGCGCTGAGCTGTTTGAAGACAGAGATGCCTTTTCCTGAGGCATCCCTGACCCCGGTGCGGCCCTCTCCAGGACACCTGCCATAGCACAGGTTTGCTGCGTCAGATGGTTTGAGTGCACCTTGTTTTATGACTTCATCCCCCTGGTCTGGAAGGGCCATCCTGCATTTGGAAAGGAAAGCAGGACCAGCCAGTGGACCTCCAGAGTGTGGGCCTGGGTCTGGCTACCTCGGGGCCCCGCATCCATGTGGGTCCCACTGTGGTTGCAGGTGGTCACTGTGCCTGCGTTCCTGAGCCCCCATTGCTCGTACTAAATCAGCCACAGTGACAGCTCTAATCCTGGCTGCCCTGCACGTGGGCTGCCAGCCTTGGTGAGACGGGTGGCTGTGAGTTCAGTGCGCTGTTGCCTTAGAACACGTGGTCAGCACTACCTCTAGAGCAGCTGTTATATTTACCCTTACACGCTAACCCACGGCAAGGAAAACCTAGCAGATACAAGCCACCTCAGGCAGGGCTTGCCCAGGATCCCCAGTCAGGACCTGGGGAAACAGACTTGGCCAGGAGGGTGCAGAGACACCAAGCAGATGGGGGATCTGCCCCCTCACAGCTGGGTAGCTTTGAAGAAAGCACTTCTTGGGCCTTGGTTTCCCCTCTGAAAAACAGGGCCAGGATGGCGCCTCTGGGGAGGGCGTGAGAGTTAGAGACCTGGCCCAGAGAGAGACGGGCCAAGGACCTGAGGGGCAGAGGGGGTCCTGAGGAGAAGGGAGCTGTGCTGGCCTTGCTGCCAATGCTGCTTCACAGAAAATGGAGTTTCCCCGCCCCCAACAGCTCCTAGCACCCTGCATCTGCTATTCCCTCACCACCACCAGCCTCAGCTGGCTCCCGCTCATTCATATTTGCGGCCAGGGGCTGGGCTTGGAGAACTGGACACGGGCTACAGTCAAGCAGTGAGGTCATCCAAGCCCCACAGTAGGCCTCGGAGGGCAGAAGGAGGCTCTGTGGGGTGCAGACCTTGAGGGGAACAGGATAGAAGTCCAGTGGCTTGGAAAGAATGAGATCTGGTGTCTGTTGCCTGCCTGTGGCCTTTCTGGGGCTCCCCACGGGCCTGCTGGGCCTAGTTAGCCCAGGCTGCGGCAGGCAGGCAGCAGGGGGTAATGATAATTAGTAGCCTCAGGTTGCTTGGGTGAGGCAATTTCTCTGTCCTCTTTCTCTCTCACACCCCAGTGCAGTTTGCACTGCTTTAGAGGCAAGAAAGGGGCTCAGAGAGGCCCACCAGGAACCCAGGCCCCTCAGCACCTGCCCCCCTACCTGATCCAGACCAGATCTCAGCCCTGCCTGCTGTGCTCTGCACACCTTTCCTCTCTGCCCCCTCCAGCCCCTTAGCAGGGACCCCAGAGACACTTTCTCCTGGAGGGCTGCATTGGTCAGCACCATCCTGAGTCCTTGACTTTGGGGAGGCCCAGAAGCAAGATGTGGGGTGACATTCCAGGAGAACTAACTGGGAGGGGAAAGTGAAGCCTTTGAATCTGCAGAGGAGAGGGGTCCGGTGGCTGGGGCTGTGGATGGGAGGGCAGGGAGATGGGATATGGTTCAGGCTGCCGACAGATCTGAAGCAAGAGAGATGCCCACACTGGCCTAGCCACTGTGCAGAGCCCTCAGTGGCTCCCTGCTGCCTGCACACGGAGCCTACCTCCTCCCCACCCCTCTGCACACCTGCCCAATCCCCATGCTGGTCTCTGGACCAGGAGTTCACCCTCAGCGTCTCCTCACCACACCCCTCCCTTTGCCGAGGCCCCACATTGTGTTCTGCTTCCTGGATGGGAGGTCTGCCAGGCACAGCCCCAAGAGCAGGTCTTGGCACCCAGTGTCACTGGATGCCAGCTGGTAGGTGAGGGCTTCACCCATGTCATCTCATCATCTCCCAACTCCCCCATGAGGAAGGTCATCATCTCCCCAATATAAGAGGAGGGGAGTGAGGCTCAGAGAGGTGAGGTGATCTTCCCCAGGCCACACAGCCAGGAGCACTCAAACAAAATTCAGAAACAATTCATTCACAGACCACAAACCAGGGTGGGCAGTGGGGACTGGGAGTTGCCACCAAGTTTATAAGCCCTGTCCTTCATGTCCTCTGCAACCTTGAGACTTCCACAGGTTTGAATCCCAGAGGGACTGCCTCTTTGCAGACCCCAAAGCCCTAAAAAGGGAAGAGCACTGGGGACACCTAAGGGCTGCAGAACCCTGCAGAGGGAGCAGCACCTGTGCATGTGCTGCGTGACTGTGGGCAGATCACACCTCCCCTCTGTGCCTCTGAAAAGTGTTCTGTGAGGACAAAACAAGTCAAGGTACACAAAGTGCGGCTAATGGAGTGCTCAAGTGGTAAGAGCACCTGCCTAGCAAGGATGAGGCCCTGAGTTCAAATCCCAGTGCTGTCAAAAAATAAAAAAAAGGGAGAGATGCAAAGTGCCAGGAACAGAATCTCACACAGTGAGCGTAAGTGAATGGCCTCAAGCCTGGCTTACCTCCTTTTCCTGCCCCACAGCTGACACTCAGTACCCGCGGGTCACTGGGCACGAGCTGAGTGCGTGTGTCCCAGCTTTTGTGTCTCGAACCTCGTGGACATGCTGGTGGGATCGTAAGCATTCCCCAAGGGAAAGTTATGGCAATTCATTGTGATGTAGTGTATTGACCCCCGACACCGCCAGTCCTGCTGGTCAGTCTGTCTGCCTGTCGTCCAACCATTAAACAAGTCTGCTGAGAAATAGTGTCCAATGCCTGCTGCCAGCCTGGCCTGGCCATTTTCCCTCTTGCCTGCCCCCAACCCCAGCTGAGATTTCTCTTCATTTGCTTGTTTCGTTCAGTTCTCGAGGCCCAAATGAGCTGCCTTGGTAGAAGGGCTTCAGAGGAGCAGGGTGTCCCCAGTGTCCCATGCCTGTGACCCAGGGCCAGCGTGGCATATGAGACAGTTAGCCCTGGCCCTCCCAGGCTTGCTCCATTCGCCCGCTGGCCCAAGGGCAACCTGGGCAGATGAAGGGCTGATGAGAACAGGCCTGCTCCCTATGGGGGCAGCCAGCCACCTTTGCCTTCTTTGGTTGTCACCAGGGACTGGCCGACAGCCCTGCAGCCAGCCATGGTGTTGATGGGTCCCCACAGCTGCAACCACACGTGTGCCTGGCCATCAGCCTCTGGACAGGCGGGAGGAGGGGAGGGGCAGGGCGTCTGCAGGAGGGGTCAGAGCTACAGCTGGGGACAGCAGGTACAATGGCCTGGGTGGCTGCTGTGCACTGGCTGCTCCACACCCTCCTCGTGAGCACAGCAGGGAGGGGCTTCCTGACCCTTACCCCACAGGCCTGGGCACCAGCCAGTGTGGAATGCAGGGCTGTGATGTCTGAGCTGTTGCCCCTTCTGTAAAAGGGGGCAGGGGTGAGGTAAGGTTCGCACAGCACTTGGCATGAGACGGTGTAAATGTCACTTACTGGTCACCAGCCTCAGAGACTAGCCCAGACCCACACTTGTGACTATTTGCAGACAACGATGGTACCTTGGGAGTGGGGAATGGGGTGGGAAGAGCGAGGGACGGCAGGCAGGAGCCCCCAGACTGTGACTCTATCTGCTTCGTCCCCCAGCCCGTGGGAGAGGCTGCGTGGGTGTGAGCTGGACGTACACAGCAGGCAGTCCCTGGATAGCACGATCTGCCCTGTGTACAGTAGGTGGAGGACACCACCTTGCTGGCCCCAGGAGCTGGGCCATCTGATCTGAAATGTGGCTTCCGGGTCTTTCCGGCCTCACCTGGCACCAGCTGACCCTGACTTAAGTTAAAGGGGGAGATCCAGAACTCACGGCCCCCTACAAGGAATGCCCATGCAAGCTCCGGCTCAGGCCCTGTGGTCCTAGACCAACCTGGACAATCTTCACTTCAGGTCCCGTTCTGGGGGGCGGCGGAAACTGGGGAGCCTTAGATCCATCCAGTCCTTGGTCCACCATGACCTTCATCATCTCTTTGCCCTCTCAGACTTTGGGATCTGGCTGAGCTGAATGGTGCAGTCACTGACGTAGCCACATTTCATGGGCCAGGCCACGATGTCCTGAAATCTAAGCCCCCTCCCAATGGAGTCCTGACTGCATGGTTAAAATAGAGGCTCTGAAGCTGGGTGTACGGCTCGAAAGATAGAGTGCCTGCCTAGCAAGCGTGAGGCCCTGAGTTCAAACCCCAGTACTGCCAAAAAGAACAACGGTTCCACTACCCAGACTGCTACTGTACTTCCCCTGGGCAAAGGCCCCAGAAGAACTTTTAGCATACGTGCAGCTGCTGCCTCGGGGACCTTGGAGATGTAGGTGCTTGGGCTGTGTCCCAGCATCACGAGCAGGTGGAGATCGGCCACCTGTGAGGGCACCTGGGGCTTTCCGTGTGATGAGTGGAGCCAGAGCTCACCTGAGTCATAGACGCCCAGGCCCAGCCCAGCTGTGGGTGGTGGTAAGGCCTTGGCCCAGGAGCAGGTGCAGCCCGGCCTGCTGTGCTCCCAGCTGCCTCACCGTCTGTCTCTTCTCCCCAGCAGACAGGAAGAAGGCCGCAGCAATGCCCGACTCGCCAGCTGAAGTGAAGACGCAGCCCCGGTCCACACCCCCCAGCATGCCTCCCCCACCGCCTGCCACAGCCCAGGGAGCCACACGACCACCTTCCTTCACACCTCACACACGTGAGTGACCCCGGCCCCCACCTTCACCCAGCGGCTCAAGGCAGCGGGCACAAAGTGTCTGGAGTCGTTTGAATTCTAAACTCTGCATGGAACCCTGCTGGAGGCCTAAGCTTAGGAGGTGCAAATCCCACTTCTTCAGCTTTCTAGCTGTGTGACTTTGGGCAAGCTACTTAACCTGTCTGGTCTGGGTTCCTTGTCTGTAGGGTGCAGCTGGCCATGGCTCCTTCCTTATGGCCATCATGAAGATGGAATGAGTTGACTAAAGCTTTGACAGCAGTGGCCAGTGTGTCACTAGCACTGGGTGGCAGTTGGCTGCAATGCTCTATGCTTCCTGCCAAATTTGGTCAGCACAACCAGACCCAGGACAGACCCAACCCAGAAAGAACATGAGCTCAGAGAGGGGCAGTGCTTCCCTGGGTCACACAGCAGGTTGCCTGAGTGCTGGACCAGCAGCAGCAGCAGCTCAGACTGGGGAGGGTTCAGCCCTGCCCCGTGTCCATAGCCAGGCCTCAGCAGGGGTGAGGGTCATTCAAGAGCTGGGCCCATGGGCCTCAGCTGCTGGGCAGGACCAGCGCCAGCAGTGTGTGACACCCCACCCCCCAAGTTCTCAGCTGTGTCTGGCTAGCCCTGGGGTTCACATGGTGCTCTGGGAGGGAGGCCTCCAGGGGGCCGTAAGTAGAGTGGCTAGGTCTCCTCCATTACTGCTCTCAGGGTCCCTTTTCTTTGAGAAGTTGTAACTCTAATTTTGGGTTCCTGAGCATCTGGGAAGAAAGATTCCCGACTTGGACTGGTGTGGGGGACAATATCCCCTGTCCCCCTGTACAGTGTGTCCCAGGGGTTCTGGTATGTGAAGAGAAGCCACATGTCACCCCCACCCTTACATTCAAAGCTGCATGCCTGGGGGACCCTTCCCCGGGCTTCGAACCTAGGGAAGGGCCTGGTGATCCCTGGTCCCTTCCAGGCCAGGAAGTTAGTGCTTCCTTGGTCCCCGTTTCTTCCCAAGGCCTGGCCCCTTCCTCCCTGGACATGGAAGGTGTTGCTTCCGTCCTCCAAACCTGGTAGTGGCTTCCTGCAGAGGGGACTTTGGGTGAAACCCGTTCTATCTCTAGTAACAGACCTGGCTGCAGCGAGGGTGGCTTCGTGCAAGGCCAGCTTGTCCCTGTTTGCAGGATGTCAGCTCTGGGTCAGTCTCCTACCCCTTGAGAAATGAGTTGACATCACCTGTCCAGGTAGCCACATCTGGGAACAGGCCTGGCATATAGCAGGAGTTTCATGTTCCTGTAGAGTCTGTCTGAGCCAGAGTCCTGATGTGTGATGAAGCCTGAAGGTGGACCACCAGGCCTGACTCCAGCAGCTAGGACTGCCCTTACTTAGCAGTTTGAGGGTCCAGGGAAGCAGTGGTCCTTCCACCTGGGGCTCAGGAATGGTCAGTGGCCACGCTCCTCCAGGCTGGAGGTAGCCGTGCCTTCTCTCACGCTGTCCTCATGCAGTAAGTGGCCAGCAGGATCACCTTCCCTCTTTCCTACACAATCCTCACCTCTGGGCTGAGCCGCAGGCAGTCTCTGGCCACCGTCTGAGCTCATCTGGCAGGTGGAGGAGGAGGCAATATGCCCATATTACTAGTGAGTGTCTCAGCCTGGGGTGCAGGAACTGTTCGTGGGGAGCCACTGTGCCCCAGGCAGTGTGACCATCATACACTCCCTAAAACAACAGCCCCCTGAATGTCTGAAAGCCCCAAGTGGGAGGAACACATAGAGCACCTGCCAGTCTGGTCATGGGTTCCTAGCTGGAACCCTGGCCTCTGAAGGTGCACCACCCAAGCCTTCTGTTCCCTTGGGTCAGTGCCCATGACCCAGAAGTGCTGGCCTGGAGACCAGATGTTCTTGGTTGGGTACGGTTGGGATCAGCATGGACCCTTTGAGCTTTATTTTTTTCATGAGTCCTTTATACAGCTATGAGGGTGGCTGGTGTGTGTGTGGCTTGGGGTCACAATGTCCTTTCATCCCCTGGGCCTCCACCCCGACCTCGGGGTCATGTTTTGGGTGGAGTTCCCAGCTCTACTTACAGAGCATGAAGCCTATGGGAACAACAACTCCTTTTCCTCTCTAGCCAGTGCTTTGGCTCCACTGGGTTGGGAGGAGTGTCCACTGCTGCTCCAGTGTCCCCTGAGATGGCCCCAGATTTGTTCCCTAACCCATGGGATTCCCTGAAAGCCAGTGGTTAACCTCCTGGACCTGGCAAAATGGCAGCCCTGGCAAGGCCTGTGCCGCCAGCCACAGATTCCTGCCCAGAGCCTCCGAGCCAAGCAGAGAGACTGACCTTGACCCTCAACTCCAGGGCTGTGGTTTTCCTGCCCAGTGGCCTCCCTGGGAACGAATTGATCTTGGTGTCTAAGATTTGGCTGGCTGGGAGGTGGGCAGGAGACAGAAGACAGAGGCCTGGACAAGTATGAGAAGCAGGGACCCCACCTGTGCTCCTGTAGGGATGGCAGTCCCTAGGTGGCCAGGCTCCACCTGCCCTCAGTTAGCCCATGAGAGATGGAGCTGCTGCCAGACCTCTGAGGCCTCTGCTCACCAACTCTGGGCTTTGTTTTGTTATTTGTTTTGTTTTGGGTTTTTTTGGCAATACTGGGTTTTGAACTCAGGGCTTCAAGCTTGCTAGGCAGGTGCTCTACCCTTTAAACCACACCCTAGTTCTAGGCTTTATTTTGGAGATCACTGAAAACACAGTTTGGGCCCTAGGTCCCTTAAGGATGGGGCCGAGTGGGGTCCCCAGGCATTTCAAGGAAGAGGGCTTTTTTAGAACACCTATCCTGCCCTCACTGAAGAAAATGCCAAATTCTCATAGATCCCTGGAGGGTCCTCCTGAAAGGAATCTTTAGAGACTGCCCAGCTCAACTCCATTATCTTAAAGAGGGGGAAACTGAGGCCCAATGTGAGAGTAGACTATAGCCCCTGGTAGTGACAGAGCCTGTGCTAAGAGGCAGGGGGCGCCGGCCGACAAAGCCGCCCTCCTGACAGCGTGTTCTTATTTTGCTTACAGATGGCGAGGACGGACCTGCGACATCTCTGCCCCATGGCCGTTTTCATGGCTGCTTAAAGTGGTCTATGGTCTGTCTCTGTAAGTAAAATAACAAAAACCGCTGGCCTCCAGCAGACCTTTGCCTTGGTCTACTCCACTGCCTTGACACCCCAGCCTTCTTGGAGACAAGAGGGATCTGAGAGGGGCAGGGTAACCAGGGCCTGAGTTGCACAGACACTGAGCCTAGGCCATGGGATGTGCACAGGTGAACACCTCCCAAGCTGCTTTCTCCAACAGCAAACAGGGAGATGGAGGCCGACCCAGAGCCTCAGTGAGGAGGCAGAGGGCAAGTCAGGCTCTGCCATTTTAAGGACAGGCCCCAGCTCCAACTACTGGGAGGGTGACATTGGGAAGGTCTGGCTACCTGTGCCTCAGCTTCCCTGTCTGCAAAGTGACATCGTCACAGCACCAAGGTGGCAAGGGTGATGTGTGAGTTGGTGCTAGCAGAGCCTTGGCCATGGTGTGTGGGCCACTGTGTGCCCTGCAGACATCAGCCACCAGTGGACGATTCCATCAAAGCCCAGGCACTTGCATGGGGTGAAATTCAGAGCCCTCTGCTCTACACCACAGCCCCTGGACTGAGCCAGATGGCTGCACAGCCCAGGTGCGGCTGCCGCATGACTCCAGGGCTCTGAGAATGAGGAAACTGTCAGGACAGCTTTATTTCTGTCGTATGTTGTCCTATTTACTGCCGTGATCCTGTGCCGTGCTTGGCTGGACACTGGAGCCTGGCCCATAGCCCTGAACCCTGGCTGTCAGCCGTCTGCCGACTGTGGCTCTTACTGTGGCAGTGGTGGTCCCGCTCCAATTTGCTGCTCAGAGCCCCTAGGCAGGAGCATCCAGAGATACCCCCGTTTGTGGGATTCCCCCACCCCAGGTCAAACCCTACTAAGGCCACAAGGCTGGGGGAGCCATGGGGGTGCTTGTGTGTGCCCCCAAACCTCAGCTGAGGACACGTGTGCAGTCTAACTTAGTAACACACCTGTTGCGGAGGGAAAGCATTTGTGCTGGGGGCTATTTTCGGCGTCTCTTTAGCAAGCTGCTGAGACTGCCCGGCAGCCACAGGAGGGAGGCTGGACAGGCAGAGGCGAGCAGGCCACCGGGAACCCAGGGGCCCAGGGCAAGGCTGGTAAGTGGGCCTCAGGGAAGACAGGCCCAGGCTGGTTGGGGCTGGCGGGTGGGGCCCAGGCAATGTGCCCTTGGCATCTTAGAACCTGCTAGAAAGTCCAGAGCCCTGGTGAGAGTATGCCCATCTTTAGGACCCTAGCCCACCACTGTGGTGAGGTCTTCGTGGTGATGAACCATCTCCTCGCCTGGCTGGGGTGACAGTGAGTGGTTGTCATCAGTCTTGAATGGGGTGTGTGCTAGCCAGTGAGAGGGGAAGTGAGCCCCCAGCTGGGTCTTCTGGATAAGGTTCAGAGTCTGGGGGCCGTGGGGGTGCTATGTGTGGTGGACGCTGACTGTGCTGGGGGACCCCTCGCTGGCCTTTTGCTGCTTGTGCAATGGCTGTGCTGTAGCTGGTCTGTGGGTTCTAAGCCCGGGTGGAGCCCCAGGTCACCCCAGCTGAAGGGATGGCTGCTCAGAGAGCACGTGGAGAGGGTTCAAAATGACAGTCCTGAGCTCCCCTGCTGCAGCCTGCAAGGGGGGCTGCGGCAGCATGCAGCATTCACCTTCCTTTGCCTGTGATGTTTCCAAATCCTCACTACACAGGCCAGCTTTGCATGACACCTAGCTCCTTAAACCAGTCAGGATGAAGATGACACTGGGGACACCTCTCCAGGGGAGGTGGCAGGACAAGTAAGCTCCATGAACCAGAGATGTGGAGCAAATGGAGGCCACCCATACCCTGGCCTTGCAGCCCCACTCCAGAACACCAGGGCATGGCCATGCCTGTCTCTTGTCCTTATGACATGGGGGCATTTGAGGACCTCTGTGAGCTGAGAGCTGGACTTCTCACAGTAGCCCCTGCAGCGGGCAACTGTCAGGCCCAAACCTGAGGGATAGCAGAGTGAGGTCCACACCCCGAGGCTGCCATAACAGCAGTCACATTTCTGTGCCCCCACCACGGAAAGCAACCCTGGGCTGGGTCCTGCCTCACGCTGCATGCCCCCGATTCCCCGTAGAAAGTGGGATCCACTGTGGATGAGATGACTCAAGGGCCATCTGCTGGGTCTCCCCAGTGCCTCAGTGGCCCTGTCTGCCGTGTGGATCAGGGGCATGCCTGTGCAGGAGGTGCCAGACAACTCCTGGCCCCAGGTGGGTCATCCAGGCTGGGGCCTCAGGCAGTGTTTGGGCAAGGTGGAGCTAGTCGGTAGACTATCGTTTAGCTAAATGGCACCTCTGTGGGGATGGGAGAGGCTGAAGCCCCAGTACTGGCCAGTGTGAGCAGGTCCTCAGGTGTTCAGGAATGTGGACCCAGCAAGGCCACAGCTGCAGGACAGATGAGGCCCAGGAAGGAGGGACCAGAATGTAGCTCCACCTCAATGCCCCCACCTGCTAAGCTGACAAGACAGCTGGCAGAGGTCACCTCCCAGGCCCTGTCAGGGTGGACAAGGCAGCCACAGAAGGACACACTGAGGCCTCCACGGTCCACAGCAAGCAGTGTGAACGACACCCACCAGCTGAGCCCTGAGGGGCTCATCCTGGAGAAGGAACTCCCACTCCCACCTTGGCACACACAGGTCCCGTAGGGCCTTGGCACAGGTGGGAGGAGATATGTGAAACCTGTGGCCCTGAGGGCTCAGGTAGCCTGACCTGCCCCTCACCCAGAACCCACTCACAGCACAGGCCTAAGAACCATGTTTCCCTGCAGGTAGCCACATAAGGCTGGAGGTGGGGTGGCCCTGGGGAAGGGGCAGGGCACAGCACTCAGGAGTCACTGCTGAGAGCAAGAGTGGCGTATGAACGTGTGTGCACACACGTGTGTGTATGTGTGTGGGGATGTGTGTGCATGTGTGTGGGGATGTGTGTATGGAGGATACACACATGCACGGGAGTGCACGCGGGTATAGGGAGGTGAGTGTGTGTGTACATATGGGAGTGTGCACATATGTCTTGGTGTGTGCACACACGTATGGCTTGTATATGCACACACGTACAGGTCTCATGCAAGACTCTGGTGGTCACAGATGAGGTTCCTGTGGCCAGCAGCACAGGTGCAGGCACAAGGCTTCTCGGTCCTCCCTTGCACAGGCTCACTCTTTGCCTCCATTACCCAAGGCTAAGGGGCGAGGACCTGCTCCCAGGCCTTGCTAGAGCCCTGGGACGCTGACCTGATGATAGGGCCAGCCAAGATAGTCATGTCTCAATGACCTAGAGCACTGGTCCTGCAGCATACTCAGCTGTCCCCTCAGTCACCTGCTTGTCCTCAACACACACCAAGCCAGGGACTCACGTGCATAGCTCTGCATGTCAGAAGCCCCAGGCAGGGTCCCGCCACTCCTCTAGGTGTCCCCAGGCCCTCTGCCCGACAACCAAGCCCCATGGGTCCAGACATTGTGTGGTATGCAAGTGATAGTGTTGCCTGGGGTTGGGGAGGCTGCCGTGTGTTGGGGGGGTACATTGCAGGGGGCTGTTCTGCAGAAGTGGGGCCGCTGGGCTTTCCTGGTAGTGGTGAGTGACTTCTCATTTCCCGAGTGTCCAGTGGGTGGAAAAGCCCCCAGGCTACCTCACAGTGAAAACCTGAGCCAGCCTGGAGGGGATAGGCATCTTTTGGCTATGGGTCTTCTCTGCCAGGCTTGACCTCAGCCTCAAGTGAGGCACCAGGGGCAGTGCAGGCCAGCCACAGGCAGATGGCTGTCCCTCTGCAGCCAGTCAGCCTGTACCCTCCCCCACACCTTTCTGGGGAACCTGGAGCGAAGGGCTTTGTCTCCCAGGTACCAGTTCCCCCATCTGTAAAGGAGTACAGCACTCCGCCCGTGGCATGGCTTCAAGGGCAGGGCAGCCAGCGTGCACAGCTGCTCTGTGAGGCCCAGGACTCCACTGTCATTGCTGCTATCATGGTCATTTGGCCATTGTTTTTGTCGCTGTTATTTGCTCCTGGTCATTGTGACCCTGTGCCTTTGTCGCGCCTGCCCTCATGCTGCCTCCCCTCTCACAGTGATGAACGGCAGCAGCCACTCACCCACGGCCATCCATGGCGCCCCATCCACGCCCAATGGCTTCAGCAACGGCCCGGCCACATCATCCACAGCCTCGCTGTCCACGCAGCACCTGCCCCCTGCCTGTGGGGCACGGCAGCTAAGCAAACTCAAGCGCTTCCTCACCACCCTGCAGCAGTTCGGCAGTGACATCTCCCCCGAGATCGGGGAGCGTGTGCGCACACTGGTGCTCGGGCTGGTGGTGAGTCTGCGGCTCCCTGGTGACGCCTGGCTGTGCCAACCCTGGGGCCACCTGCCACCCACCCTCCTCCTCTCCCCTCCCCAGGGCAAGGGCGGGATGGCTGGCTCAGGTGCCGATCTGCAAACATGAGGTGGTTTCTCCCCTCAGAACTCAACACTGACCATCGAGGAGTTCCACTCCAAGCTCCAAGAGGCCACCAATTTCCCGCTGAGGCCATTTGTCATTCCCTTCTTGAAGGTAATACAAACAACCCCACCTGCTGCTGGGGCTCCCTGAGGGCCCCAAACCCCATCCCTGCCAGGCTTCATTCTCAGCTGCCCCGGGGGACAGTGCTGACCAGTCAGGACTGATTCTCGACTAGTTAAGGCTGCAAAGTAGTCAGCTGCCAAACCTAGTACTCTAAAACAGAGTACTTAGTAAATCCTCTGAGCACCAGCACTGGGCCAGGTGCTGTGGGAGGCTCAGGGATCAAGTGGGAAGGTAGGCTGAGTCCCTAAAGCAATGGCCTGGTGCAGAGGGTGGGCTGCCAACCAGCGATCACAGACAGCGAGGAAATACCCCAAGAGCCCCTCAATCCCCCTTTTGTGGAGATTGAGGACGATGAGGGACGGGCCAGAGAAGGGTCAGGGACAGAGTCCTCCAGGGAGTGGGAGAGCATGTGCAAAGGTAGTGGGGAAGGAGGAACAGCAGGGGCCAGTGTGGCTGGAACAGTGCGTGAGGTGTGGAGAGGGCAGGGCGGCAGTGGAGAGAGGTGGGTAGACTTTTAGGCAGCCAGGTGGCTGGGTAGACAGACAGATAAGCTGTCAGGTGGAAGGAAGATGTTGTAGCTATTGCAGATGAACAAGGGACTGGGCCTTGTGCACAGATGGTGGTATGGAGCCCCTTGGCAGAGCAGTCAGCAGCCTGTGAACATGGCGGGTTCCCAGGCCCCAGCCCAGACCTGCAGAATCAGGAGCTGTTTTCAAATCTGGTGATCCCTGTGCACACAAACAGGGACAGACACAGTACGCACCACATCAGTTCAGTGATTCATGCAGCCCTCGGCTTCCCGCTGAGTGGCTCATCTCTGAGAGGGAGCAAGGGTGACCTTCTCTGCTGAGCTGTCCTGAGGTCAAGGTTCCACTAATTTCCTCGGATAATGCTGGCCTGGCCACACCTTAGGCCTTATCCCATCTGGCTTTCACCTCCTGTTCAGCTGGGACCAATGGGTTGTGCTTCCTACACATCTGGGCTCTATACCCGCTCAGGGCTCCTTCCAGGGGTCTTGAGGTCAGCTCAGCCTGGACACTGTCAGGCGTGAGTGCTAAGCCCACCCCTGCACAGTGCTGCACTGGGCTCCACTCCTCTGTGGCGACCTCCACAGCTGTCAGCGGGCGTCCTCAGGCTCTCGGGGACTGCATGAAGGTGTGTCAGAATATGGCACATTCCTGGTTCTCATTGGGGATTCCAGCTGTCCCCTTGACAAGCAATGAATCTTAAAGTTGTCATAGGCATCCTGTTGACCCCTGAATTGAGACGCACAAGTCCTACCACTGTTAGGATTAACAGGCAGGGAAACTGAGTCCCTAACATCCCCTATCTGGTGACATGGAACCAGGCTCAAGGTTGGATCTGTCCAACTCCAAATCCCCACGGCCTTCACTGGCATGGCCTGCCAGGCCTCATTCCCTCATGGGGGGTGGTCCCCATATCACACCCCACATCTGGTCCCTTCCTTCCTCCCACTCACACCTTGCTGGGCTCACACTTAAGCTGGTGACAACAGGAAAGGAAGCCCCTGGCTCCAGAACTGTGGCCCCACCAGTCAAACGCAATGGTTGGAGGCCCTCACTCTCCTCCCCTCCAGCTACTACCCATTCTGCCATCATCCATCCTTGGGAGGCAGTGCACTGCTTCCTGCTTGCTTCCAGATCTAATGTCTGTAGCAGATGCCCCAGTGGCTTCAGGGCCCCAGCCAGGCCCACAGCCCCTACACTGTGCCCCAGCTCAGTGCCAGGTGCCCCCCACCCCCAGCCATGTGTACCTGGCACCACCCACAGCAGATGCTGGGCAGGACAAGTGCTGCCTTGTTTAAGGACTCCTCTGCCCCTGTTTCCCCTCTGCCTGCAGTGGCTCTCACGGGCCTGAGGGACAGCTGGGGTGAGGGGTCTGTCAACCTTATAGCCCCATCTGGGGCCCCAGGTGCACAGCTGTCAGGAACACAAAGTGCGTGAGTCTCTGACACAGAGACTCTCGCTCCTAAGGCGCGAGAGGAGCCAGAAGTGAGAAATGAAACATGAGGGCTGCTGCTGGTGCAGCTTCCAGGGCTTGTTGAGACGACACCAGCCAGAACCCCAGCCTGTGGTCGGGCCTAGGGAGTAGCACTCGCTGACTCCTCACAGACCCATGGCTGCTTTGATTGCAGAGTGAAGTGGGGGGCCAGCATGACGGGCTGGACACAAAGAAGCAAGAGGGAGGGACCTCAGCCAGCCAGTAGGTGACTCCAGGCACCTCGCTGCCCTCTGGGGTGGGTTCTGGTCTGCAGCTGGACTGGGAGCAGCGGTTGTGCCTTCCTGAAGGCTCACAGCCCACCAGTGCTACGTGGGGCTCCTCAGCATGGCCTCAGGGATGCCAATCTGGAAAAGGACTGTGCTTAGCGGCTGGGTAGGGACTGACTCCATCTGCAGCTCCCTCTTGGGTCCTCTCCTGGATAGGGGCTGAAGGTGCCCACCTCAGGGGTCATGGGAAGGACTAAGTTAATTCACCCAGGGATCGCTGTAGACTGTCACTCCCAGGGCTTTCACAGGTCTGGTCTACAAATGAGGCAGAGGTCAGAGAGGTTAAGTGACCTGCCCAAGGCCACACAACCCCTCAGTGGCCGAGCCAGGGTGGGCTGTCTGTCAAGCCCACCATCAGGCAGGCTTTAGCAGAGGGCTCAGCAGAGCTATGGAGACATGGCAAACCCTGTGGTTTTGCCGTCTGTGTGGTGAATTTGCAGACGGTTTTGTTCCCTTGACCTGAGTTCTCATCAGGGAGCAAGAGAGTGACTGACTTCTGTAGCACAAGAGCCTCTGTGCAGATGGTGGAGTTGGGCCCAGGGCAGTCTGTGACCAGCTCAGTTTGTTCATCCTTTGAGTAGTGATGCTCTCTGGCACTCCAGGCTTCTGGGGACAGAATGAGAATACCTACCCCCACACTCCTGGGCTGGGCAACTAGCAGTCCTGCCCACCCCCAACTAGCCCCCCTGTGAAGGACTGCTGGGTCTGAACCATATAGCTGGGACTGCCCAGCTCTAGGGTCCCTTACCCCCTGTCCTGGCCTGCCCCATGTGTGGCTAGGTATCAGGGCTTTCCAGAAGCTGGGAGAGGCCGCCCTGCCGGCCAGCCCCCACCCGGGGCTCCAGCTCCCAGCTGGCCCCAGCCGGTCGGGGATCCAGATGTTTCTCCACCCTAACAGCGACCAGCCGGCGCTCGTGCCTGTTCCCCACCCCACTGTGCAGCCAAGGGGAGGACCCTGGGGGTTGGGGCTGGTGAGGGAGGGGACATTGAGCTCCCGGGACCTCCTGGGACCTTGTTCCCAGCTCATGCTCCTGACGTGTTCAGCAGATGGTGGGCTGGCCCCTGTTCAGCTATCCAAATAGAAAACAGGCCTGGCAGCCGGCACGGCTTGACAAAAATGCTCAGCTGCCTGATGAGACGGGCAGATGTGCCCATGGGGGCTGGGGAGGCGGAGCAGGGGAAGGCTGCCCTGGCAGCTTTGAAGCGTTCAAGAAAGTTGGGGATTGTATTTATTTACAAATACTTAGAACTGCTGGCTCTCCCAAGGACCTGCTGCTGGGCCCCCATCCAGCGTGCTGAGACCCAGCCTGCTGCCCTCCCCCTGGCAGCTTGGGGAAGCTGGAGAAGGCATAGGAGGAGCCTGCAGCCCAGCAGTGCACGCTGGGAGGCGGCACACAGGCAGGCACAGTGGTTAAGTGCAGGGTGTCAGAGGCGGGTCTGCATTCAAGTCCTTCATGCACACAAATGCAGGGCCAAGTTATAATGTCACCAAGGCTGTGAGGATCACGTGGGGTCGTCCTTCCCACGTGCTCAGAGCCACACAGTCGCAGAAGAAACACACTGATGTCCTGTCCCAGCTCCATACTTTGTTCAGCACTGGGGCTGGAAAGCAGTAGGAGAGGGGCCATCTCCATGAAACTTCTGGTCAGCGCATGTCAGGAGCCAGAGCAGAAGCCCTGTGAGCACCACGCTGCATTTCTGCTCCCAGCACCTCCTATTATAACCAGTTGTGAGTGCAGGGCTGGTTGCTTGCCCTCTTTGAGCCTCCATTACCTTGTGTCCTGCCCAGAATGGTGCCTGCCTGGACAGGGCGCAGGTGAGAAATACTGTTTACAACTTCCCCTCCTCATGTTCATCAGAAGTCACCCTGAAAGAGAACACAGTGACATGGAAAGTCTGACATCTGGGCCTGGGGTCCATGCACCACAAAACACTGTGCAGGAACTGGCCTGCCTAGCTCTCTTTCTGCCTCACACGAAACAGTGGTAAGCAATAACCAAACCAAGGGACCCAACGAGGCCCAGAAGTCACCAGAGGCAGCGGGGACTTACCCTATAGGCCAGTGGGCCCAGGGCTCTCGCTGGTCTGAGTAGGTTGTGCAGACTTGCGCCCCAAATGGCACCAGCAACACCCTAAGTTCTCTTCCTTCCTGCAGGCCAACCTGCCCTTGCTCCAGCGTGAGCTCCTGCACTGCGCCCGCCTGGCCAAGCAGACGCCTGCCCAGTACCTGGCCCAGCATGAGCAGCTCCTTCTGGATGCCAGTGCTGCCTCCCCTGTGGACTCCTCTGAGCTCCTGATGGAAGTCAATGAGAATGGCAAGAGGAGGACGCCTGACAGGTACTGGCCAGCTCCTCTAAGGCCTGCCTGGAGGGAGGGGATGGACAGCTGCTCCTTCACACTCACCTCTCTGGACACAGCTCTGCAGGGTGGCCCAGCTTGTTCATAACAAGACTGCATTCTGCAGGGGACAAGATAGTGGGCTGGTGGTGCCCTGTCCCCTGCACAGTAGAGCTGCCCTGTCGGGCTGTGGACTCAGGTGGACCTGGGAGCCTCAGGAGGGGACGTTGGGCAGGCATTGCCTGGCATTTCCTCCTGTGTTAGACACTGAATGACAGGGAGTCCGAGGACCCCACAAGCCTACCTGGGCTGGGCTCCTCTGCTGACCACAGAGAAACTTGTCTTGCCACTGCCCTGTGGAGGTAAAGGGGACCACACCCAGTCACAGGCGCTGGGTGTCTCCCTTTCCTCATTCCCTCGGCAGAGAGTCAGGATTCTGGATGTCTGGACCCCAGGAGCCCCTCTACCAGGGATGGGTGGAGGTTGGAGCCCCAGACAGGGACACACTGGGGTCTGGGTTGGGCCCCAGTAATGATGGTCTGCTTCTCCTCACACTTCCTTTCTCTGTTCCCACCTGTCTCTGCCTCACCCCCACTACTTGGGCCTCCATCCATGGCTGGTGGCTCATACCCCCTGCCCCCCACCTGTTCTTGGCCAGGACCAAAGAGAACGGGTCAGACCGTGACCCACTGCACCCTGACCACCTCAGCAAGAGGCCCTGCACCCTGAGCCCCGCCCAGCGCTGCAGCCCCAGCAATGGGCTGCCCCACCCCACGCCGTCCCCACACTACCGCCTCGAGGACATGGCCATGGTCCACCATTTCCGAGACGCCTACCGACACCCTGACCCCCGGGAGCTACGGGAGCGCCACCGGCAGCTTGGTGAGCAGTGCTCTGGATCTCAGTGTGGACATGAATGGCTGGGTGCCTGTGCAAGTCCGTGTGCATGTGCAAATCTGTGTGTGCGAGTCCGTGTGCATGTGCAAATCTGTGCATGAAAGTCCGTGTGCATGTGCAAATCTGTGCGTGTAAGTCCGTGTGCATGTGCAAATCTGTGCATGAAAGTCCGTGTGCATGTGCAAATCTGTGGGTGCAAGTCCGTGTGCATGTGCAAATCTGTGCGTGCAAGTCCGTGTGCATGTGCAAATCTGTGCATGAAAGTCCGTGTGCATGCACCTTGAGTACATGTGGTCTGCATAGCATGTGCACATGTGCGGGGTGGAGGTGGGGGTGCAAGCTGCCTGCCAGCAGCTGTGAGTACCTAAACTCTGGGGGACACTCTGACACTGCCTTCTGACCTGGTTTGTCCAGGAAGGAAAGGAATAGAAGCTGGAAGCTGCCCCAGTCTCGAGGGCAGATATCTTTCTCAGCCCTCTCTGAGAGAGCAGCCTGATGTCCCCGCCTTGTACTCTCTGGACCTGGAGGCCCCTTCCTTCCTTAGGGACAGTGGGTGACTAGAAAGACTCTATCTGGGGCCCAGAGTCCACTGTACACCCCAACCCCAGGCTGAGCAGCCTTGGGCCTGGAACAGTTGAGGGCAGAGGCTCCAAGCAGATCTTAGTGATCCCCACAGTGCATCTTCAGGCAGGCCTCTCTGTACCTCAGTTTCCTCCCCGTCACTCAGCTCAAAAGAAGTCATTTAAGGACTGGGGACATTGATGCAGAGCCTGGCCAGGCACAGAGTGTACCTAGAACTTTGTGCCTCAACCCACCCCACACCCACACCAGACACGGAGAGGGCAATGATTAGCCACAGTCACAGCCCCCAACCTTCCCCTGACCCCCACGGTCTGACTGGCCGGGCCCTCCTGGATGCTGGCTCAAGGAATCGATTGGTCCAGCCCCCAGGTACTGGGAGGAGAGTCCAGAAGCAGTCAACCCTAATAGGGTCCCAGAGCAAGGTCAGTGGAGGCCTTGCCTGTTCAAGGCCATCCCCCCACCCCCATACTGCGGAAGCTTCCAGGGACTGAGCCCAGGCAGCAGGTGACAGCTCTGGCTCCTAGGCTGGGTCAGACAGGTGCTAATTCCCACCCGCTTCTGCTAATGCAAAAATAAACGCCAGCTGTCGGCCGAGCTCAGCCTCTATTTTGGTTGGGGCATTGGGTGCAGGTTGTGTGGACAGTCAGGGAGGGTGTCAGACAGCCGCTGGGGCCGCCACCTCCCCACCCTATCGCGATTTGAAGGAGGCATTTCAGGTTTGAGAGCTAGGAGATCTTTAGGGCTGAAGGCAGTTTAGAAAAGAAGCCTGGGCCTCAGGGAGATGAGTCAGTGTAGGGTCATGGGCACAGATTGGGGGAATACAACAACGAGGAGGACAATGACAACTGGAAGTGTTTGATATTTCAGGAAACCCATAGGGGAGGTCACCGAGGGGGGGCCAGATGTGAACCATGACTGTCCCCTACTCCCCCCAGCTCCCCTTCGGCCCCTGAGTCTCACCGCCAGTGCTGAGGGCACAGCTTCAGCCTGGCCAGCTTGGGGGCACAGGCTTCCTGTGTGGTATCAGGCAAACAGTCCCTCGCCAGCCTTGGTTTCCTCCTCTGTGAAATGGGGATGGTGACAGACCCTCCCTTCAGGGCTAGGGAAAGGGCAAGGGAAATAGGCATTCCGCAGAGCCCCGATAGGGATCCTTTGAGTTTACCAGATCAGCGTGGGGCTCAGCACCCCACACGCTTACTGTGCACATGATCCTGAGAGTCTTTGAACTTCCAGAAGGTAATCAGTGTAGGGAAGATGACAGTCCCAGGGCCCATAGGGAATGGGCATCTTGGCTTCTGATCCCACCGTCTGCCTGCAGAGCTGACCTGAGATTGTACTTGGTCTAGTGACTGTCCAGACCACAGCTCAGTCTGAGGACACAGAGATGAACGGGACCCACTGTCCTGCCCTGCAGAGCTGTTACAGCCTGTTGGGAGGAAATAACCCTCACTTAAGAAACAACCAGAGCCAGGAGCCTGTGCTCACGCCTGTAATCCCAGCTACTCGGAGGTTGAGCTCAGAGGATGTAGTTTGAGACCAGCCTGGGAAAATAGTTTGCAAGACCCCATCTCCAGAATAACCAGAGCGAAATGGACTGGAACTGTGGCTCAAGTGATCGAGCTCCTGCTTTGCGAGTGCAAAGTCCTGAGTTCAAACCTCAGTCCCACCAAAAAAAGAGACATGTGGTACCCAAGGAATTCTGAGGACTCTGGGCTATTGTGGAGAGGGCCTATGGCCTGGGCTTTGACAGATGCATAGGAGTACAGCTCTCTGAGAGGAAGTCATAAGCATACAATGAAGTCGGGCAGCCACAAGAAGACCCTGAGGCTGCCAGGCAGTGATAGACCCTCCAAGTGAGGGCTGGAGTAGCTTCTTGGCAGTAGGAGAAAAAAAAAAAAATGAAGGGCTGGAGTTGGAGGCCAGGAGGCAGGAGGAGTGGCCAAGGCCAGAGCTAGGAAATGCCCCTTCCTCCCAAGTGCTGGGCTGGTTCCTGGCACACACACCCTGCCCCTCTGTGGGCAGAGGGTTAGTACCCAGGGTCTCCTGCCCCACCCTCTCTTCCCATGGTGGGCACAGCCCGTGGTAGGACCTGGGGAATATAGGGCAGGAATTGAAGGGAGGAGGATCACACCTGGAAGCAGGGGTGGGGCCTGGGGTGGGGGTGGGGCCTATGAAGCAGGAGGCGTGGCCTGGGAGTTGGGTGGGGCTTTGGCACGTGGGCAGGGCCTTACTTGGGGCGGGGCCTAAGCATTCTCTCCTCCTACAGCGGTGCCTGGGTCGCGGCAGGAAGAAGTGATTGACCACAGGCTTACAGAGCGCGAGTGGGCCGAGGAGTGGAAGCACCTCAACAACGTGAGTGTCCAGCAGGGCTCGTAGCTCACAGCCACTACTACCTGGGTCTCTGCTGACCGTGGGCCTGAGGCTGCTGGAGCAACAGCACTGAGTGTGGGCTCCTTTGGGTTCAGCAGCCTGTCTGGACCCACCCAGGCCCCATCTGGCCATCCGTCTCTTTATGTTAACCCCACTGTCCATTGCAGGCCTGTCCAGGTGCTATGGAAGAAACAGCAAAAAAGGCCCCAGGGCCCTACACATAGGCCAGCCCTCTTCCACATTACTTCCTGCTCAGTGGCTCTCCAGAGCAGAGCCCCAGTCTTGCAGGACTTTGGGGAAAGTAGTCTGGGACCCCTTTTGCAGCAGGACGTCCCTGCCCTGAGTTCAGTCCAAGTGGGCAGAGGCCCACCACCCTGTCCTACAAGGGGCCACTGGGCATCATCCCTCAACCCCCTTCCTTCTTGGAAAGAAAAGAAGGCAGGTTGTCTTCAGAGAGGTAAAGCGAGTCCCAGGCACCCTCTCTGTATCTAAACAGGCTTCTGTGTGAGCCTGGTGCCCATGGAGGCTGGGGCCCCCAGGCCTGGGCCAGTGCACCATCTGGAGCCCCAGCCTCAGGTGCTCTGCTGTCCGGGCCTCCTGAGGGCTGAAGGCTTTGCTGCCCACCTGCAGCTCCTGAATTGCATCATGGACATGGTGGAGAAGACTAGGCGGTCACTCACTGTGCTGCGCCGGTGCCAGGAGGCGGACCGCGAGGAGCTCAACCACTGGATCCGGCGCTATAGCGACGCTGAGGACAGCAAGAAGGGTCCCACACCCACCGCAACCCGGCCCCTCAACAGCTGTAGTGGTTCTGAGGGGTCTCAGATAGGTGTGCTCTGAGGAAGGGTGTGGGGAGCCTGCATGGGTAGCAGGGGTGGCCGGCCTGCACAGGTGCCTTGGTACAGCACTAACACCCAGGAAACCAGGCCATCATTCAGACAGTACAATAAAACTCACACGGAGCCAGGTATGGTGGCTCAAGTCTATAATCCCAGCTACTTAGGAGTGGACGTTAGGAGCGTCGTGGTGTGAGACCAGCCCAGGCAAAAAGTTTGTGAGACCTCATCTCAGTCATTAAAAAACTGGGCACAATAGTGCATACTTGTCATCCCAGCTACACAGGAAGTGGAAATAGAAGGATCTCAGTCCAGGACAGCCAGGGCATAAAGTGAGACCATACCTCAAAATAAGCAAAGCAAAAGGAGCTTGGGAATAGCTCAAATGGTAGAGTGTCTTCTAGCAAGTGTGAGGTCCTGAGTTCAAACCCCAGTGCCTCCAAAAAAAACCAACAAAATAGTTTTGGTCGAAAGGAGGTGCCCTTTGCATGCACCCAGACTGTTAGGAAGCTTAGAGCTTCCAGGGTCTGGTGGGCAGGGACTCAAGGAGAGGCCTTCAAGGGTTTTTGTTCACCCACTTCAGTGGTAACAGCAGAGACCAGTGAAGACCCTGGATGTGCCCAGCTCCCAGTCTGAATCCACATCCATTAGCTGCCCCTTGCTGCCCCTGATGCAGGGTCTCCAACCCATGGACCCCTGGGAAACCCCTTCCCCAATGAAAATACATTCCCTGCCCTCAGGCCTCTGCCATGGTGAAAGGGAGCCCCAGTGTGGGAGAGGGAGCTAATGGCTCCATTCTGTGCATGACACCAGCCTCCTGTGTTTCAGATGCCCACCGGGAGTTCATGCCTAGGACCCTCTCTGGCTACATGCCTGAGGAGATCTGGAGGAAGGCCGGTGAGTGGGGATGTGAGGACGGACCTGGGGACAGAGCTGTGGGTGGCCGGAGACCCTCACCCTCCCTGCAGTGAGGAGCACCCAGCTACACCCAGGGCTCAGCTGGCTCTACATGCAGCAAAGCTCGCAGGGCTGTGCGTGCCCAGCCACAGTCAGGAGGGAGCCCAGGCAGACAGACAGACACACACACACATTCAAATCTCAAATGCTGGTCCCATGGTGGACAGACTCAGGAACAGAACAGGACCTGAGGGCACGAGGAAGACAGGCACCCACTTGGGCAGAGGCAGTACAGAAAGGAAGTGGGGTGGGCATATTTTGAGCTCTGGTGGATTCGGTGTGAAGTGTAAGGAAGAGAGGACTCAGAATCTCAAGAGTGAGAGAAGGCAGGGTCCCGGGCTGGCGATGGAGTGAGGGGTTGTGGGCAGGGTGAGGCTGGGGGGCAGGAGGCAGGCTTAAACCCCGACCTGGATGGGAAGGTGGGATCCTCACTCACTTGGCCATCCCTTCACCTTGTGTGGCCCCACGGCTGGGCCTTGTGAGACCTTTGCTAACATCCATGCAGAGTCGCACAGTGATGGGGCTGCTGTCCATCAGATTTGGAGGCTCCAGCCTTGCTAGCAGCTCAGCTCACCCCCAGTGTACAGATGCTCAGACAGGAGGCTCCTGGGGGTGTCTCAACACCCTCAAATGAGAACCCTGCTTAATGCTGCCTTACTCCCCTAGGGCTGATTCTCAGTAGCCTCCCTCACACCATTGCAAGGGCAGTCCAACCAGATAAACCAAAGCAGGCCTCACAGGCCTTGGAGGGAGTTTATCAGGGACTCATGGAGGGCAGGAGGGTCATTTACAAAGCTGAGCCACACAGGACAGTCAGTGTGGACGCTTGTCATGGAGCTCGGCTCAGCCCTGACCCTCCAAGCAAACCAGTGGTGGGTGTAAGGTCCCCAGGTGGCTTCAGGGTCTCTTCCACCCCGTGGCAATGCAGCCTAGCTCCTCTGGCTAGCACTGCAGGGCTCACTTCTGCTGGGCTGCTCTGTGCTGCCCCGGGGTGGATCAAGATGAAGTCAAAGCTGCAGAGCTGTGGTTCTCAAAGCAGGTCCTGCACAATACCAACCTGCCTGGAACATGGTAAAATGCAGATTTTCCCCTGACCTGCTGGGTCAGACTCTGAGGGTGGGCCTGGCACTTATCCTCCAGGGGCGTCTACACCCCCCAGAGTGAGAACCATTACAGAAGCAAACTCACCATGCTGAGTCTGTTCCTCATGACCACGCTTGCACACATGTGTCTGGGACACACATGTTCACTGCATACCTGTCAGCACAGGCCTAAGAGTTACTCCCATGTGTACACACACTTGGCAGGTGGCAGACGTGCACACAGCTACACCCAAGGTCCTGCCCCAGATTGTGGGTGCAAGAGGCTTACAGACCCGGGTGCCTCTGTGACCACAGGTTCCACGTGACCGCTGGTCCACCTGTGTGTTTTGCAGAGGAAGCTGTGAATGAGGTGAAGCGGCAGGCGATGTCAGAGCTGCAGAAAGCCGTGTCCGATGCAGAGCGCAAAGCCCATGAGCTCATCACCACAGAGCGCGCCAAGATGGAGCGGGCCCTGGCAGAGGCCAAGCGGCAGGCCTCAGAGGATGCCCTGACTGTCATCAACCAGCAGGAGGACTCCAGTGAGGTAGGGCTGCTGGCCACTCCCACACTCTGTTCCCTGTCTCCTGGTCCACTGTGGTCTGATCCAGGCTTGATCACACCTGAGCTGGAGCCCAGCAGCTATGCAACCTCAGAGCTGTATGAGTTGTCCCCACTTGGTGCCCATCATGGCTGTCACAGGTGGCATGCAGCAGGCACACTGTCAGCTCAGACGTGGCCTGGAGATATCATGTGGGCCTCCCCATCCCATAGATGTAGAAACTGAAGGTCCAGAGAGTAGGAATCTTGCCCAAGGCCCAGGCCCCGGCTTGTTCTGGGGCCTTTATTCCACCTCAGCCTGCTGGTGCCGACCCCCATATTCTTCTTTATCTTGTGAAAGCAGGTGGTTCAAGGAGACTCGTAGGACCCTCACTAGGCTCCTGGCAGACAGGTGGCAGGTGCTTGATGAATGGGAAGGTTGTGAGAGCTATGATCCCATGTGCCAGGCATCTGGGTGCAGGGCTCCATCCAGCTGGACAGGTGCAGAAGGACTCTGTCCAGCCCGTCTACTCCTGTCCAAGAAGAACTCAGGCCGCAGAGATGGGAGGGAGTGGGAGAGCCCTGAGCTGTCCTCTGGAAAGGGACAGGTCTCCAGACCCCTGCATGGACCTCTGGCTGGGCTGGCCCCAGGGCTGGGAGGAGATGGGAAGAAGAGGGGAGTGAGGGTACAAAGGGATGGATGGATCCCTTCAATTCTTGCATCCATGCCCCAGCTCTTGCAACAAACAGCTATGGAGAAGCAGCCAGAACAAGAACACAAATCTCAGAGCTGGCAGGAAAGGGAGGAGAAAGAAAGACCCCAACATGGAAGGGCAGCATTGGGCACTTCAGGAGCCGGCGGGGGTCAGGGAATGCCTCAGAGGCAGGTGACAGCTAAGTGGACTGGAGGAAGGAAGCGAGGGGCCGACAGGTGTTACTGCTGCCATCTGCAGAGGGGCAGCGAGGCCAGCGTGAGCTGGGGACACAGGCAGTGGTGGGACTAGAGGCTTTGGGAGCCAAATAGGGACATGGACTCTGACTTCTGGGACAGGTTCGACCTCCTACAAAACTCCCATTGGCCCCAAGAGGAAATGCACTGTTAGGAAAAGGTGACCTGCTCTGTCACCACCCCTTCCTAAAACACTGCCCAGCAGGTGGTCTTCTGCCCCCAGCTGCCCCCAGGGGCCATGGAGTTCCAGGGTTTTCTCTAGGTGGAATCTCGGAGGCTGTGGGTGGGCATGCGCTTCCCCATCCTGCAGCAGGCTGGGTACTTGGGCATTTGGGGTCTGGCCCACCCTGACCATACCCTTTAACCACCCCCCATCCAGAGCTGCTGGAACTGCGGGCGCAAGGCCAGTGAGACGTGCAGTGGCTGCAACGCAGCTCGCTACTGCGGGTCCTTCTGCCAGCACAAGGACTGGGAGAAGCACCACCACGTGTGTGGCCAGAGCCTGCAGGGCCCAGCAGCTGCAGTGGCTGACCCGCTGCCTGGCCAGCCCGATGCCACCGCCAGCCCCAGTGAGGCCGGCTCTGCGGGACCCTCTCGCCCCTGCTCCCCTGGCCCACCCGGCCCGCTGGACACCACCGTGCCCCGCTGACCCCCACTAGACCCTGATGCCCAGTCCATGGATGCCGGTGCCCCGCGGACCTACTGGCCCCAGCCCCGGCCTGCCACCCGCCTGGCCCTGTGGAGCCACGGCTGGAGCCTCTGCTGCTACTGCTTCTCTCCAAAAGAAATCACAGAACCGACGCAAATGCATCCACGCAGCCTCCTCAGCTACCTGACAGTCCACGCCACGACCTCCAGCAGCCTCTGCAAGCATCCCCGGAAATGCCACCCCTGCAGACGGTGCAGCGCCCCGGAGGCGTGGCTGACTCTGCCCACTGTCTGTCCATCCCTGTTTCTTTTTTTTTCTCTCTGTCTTTTCTGTCTCTCTCTGTGTCTCTTTCATCTCTTTTTCTCTACCTATTTCTTTCTCCTCCTCTCTCTCTCTCTCTCTCTCTCTCTCTCTCTCTGATTTCCACACACTTTCCCTATAATGAAAAAAGTCTAATTGGTGGCTTTTATTTTCAGTGAAGAATTTTGGAATTTTGTTTTGTTAGCAAAAGAGCTACTCAAAAATGGACAAAAAAGACTGTGGAATTCTCCCCTATCCTTACTGAAAAGGGAAAAGAAACTGATTTCATGGCCTGAGTCCTCATTTCCTGCATCTCCAGCCCACCCAGGGGGCTTGGATGACAAGGCAGAGGCCGAGAGGAAGATTTCAATTTCCAACTTGAAGCATTTTTGGTTTCAGGTTTTTGTTTTTTTTTACTTTGATGTCAAACTCTTTGGCTTTAAGTAAAAATCCAAAAAGTTTTTTTAAGACAAAACAAAAAGCAAAGGAAGCATACCGTAAACTACCTTGCTAGCTAGCCAGCCAAGGATACCAGACACACCTCTGCTCCAAAGGAGATCCAAAAAAGCAAACACAAGAAATCAAAATCCAAAAGTTTTTGTCACTGCCAAAGCGTTTTTTCACTGGTTCTACTCCATCTTGGGTTTGTTTAGATGTTGGTCTTTTTTTATTTTGGTGTTGGTTTTGTTTGGGGGTGTTGGGATTTGGGGGTCTGGAGAGTTTGGCCCAAGAAGGAACGGCCTTTGGTTTCTTTTCAACTAGTGAGCAGCGCCCCTGCTGGTGAAAGCAGTGAGCAGCACAGCGGCCGCGAACCCTGAGTCATGGTAAGCCCAGGCGTCCCCATTTGCAGGGGACTCACCTCCACCTGTCCTCACACCCTGTGTGACTTTCCACATTTCATTTTTCCACTTGTGGGGGAAAAAAAGTGCTAAAGTGTTCTTCCCAGAGAGAGCATAATTCCTAATCAAAACTGTGACAATCTTTTGGATTGATTCTTGACTGCTTTTCAACATGAGGGAGGAGACAGCAACAGCTCCTGCAAATCCCACGTCTTGGTGTTTCCTCCTCTACCTCTGCTCTCCACGCCCCACCCACCTCCGTCTTAGCCCCATCACCAGCCAACCCCAGTGTCTCGCTGGCTACTTTCCTTTTGTCTAAACTTTGGCAGAAAAAAAAGAAAAGAAAAGAAAAAAAAAAACCAGAAAAAAACCCATAAACGAAAGCAGTCAGCCCTCACCTCACCTTGAAGACTCGTGCTCAGCTGTACATAACCCTGCGTCTGTCTGGTTGCCCCTCGAGCCTGTGTCTCCAGCCCTGGGAGCGACAGGTGATGTTTTCTGTCAGATGTTTTCCCACACTCCAGCCTTTGCCCACCCTGCCCTCCACCCATTTGACTCCCTCAACGACTCCAGGAGGACATGAAGGAAGGAGATTCACACCTGTACAGGATGGAAGAGCAAATGTGACAGACACTTTTGTGCTTTTTATACAGAGCTCCAAGACTAGAGTGCAATACAGGGTGGTCAGCGACTGAACTGGGTCCAGGGGGCCCCACCCGGAGCAAGGAGTCCTGGCGTGCGTTAATGTGAATGTATATAGTATTTGCAGAGGTCCAAATGATGCTATCCACGATGATGGTCACACAGAGGACATGTTTGCCAAATAAAAAGAAATTAAGAGAAACCACAGAAGTATGTGACATTTAGGAAATAGATTTTCAAAGAAATCTGAACTGTGACCCCATGGGGAGTGATGGCTTCTTTGGCGGCTGTTACTTCTTCACAGCTGTAAAGTTCATTTTGTGAGTGTTAAAAGAAAGTGTCCTGTCAGGCAGCACCAACCCAGTGCCACCCACGACCGAGCCTGGCAGTGGTAGCCTCACTCGGAAGGCCAAGGTAGATCTCTGTTATCCTCTGAAGGTCCCCAGGGCTGTGGCCCCTCCAGCCAGTAGAGGTTGCTTCTGTGGGTTTCAGAGAATTGAAGACTGGTGTGGGATTTCTGCTTGCGATTAGATGTGGAGACCAGCCCGTTCTTTGTTGTCTGATTTTTTCCCAAGCACTGAGCCTGCTGAAATGCAGAGTCGCCAGGCCTGTGCCTGTCCCTGCCTCCCTCAGAGAGAGCCAGCCCTGGACTCTCCTCCCACCTCCAACCCACATGGCCCTGGCCCTACACAGCCCTCTGGACCATTCCAAGTAGGCAGGGCACTTGGCTGCGGGTTGCAAAGGGCCAGGAGGTGGTGGGCACTGTGTTCATGGATGAAAATAAAGCTGGGCTCCCAGGCGTTTTGTGTGCTGGTGCACCATGGTCTCTGGAGATGCCTGACCTGGATGTTGCTGTAATCTGGGTGATGAGTCCCCAGCCTGCTGCCCTGAAGATCCATGTTCCTGGTATCAGCACTGGAGGGGCCCACTCCCTGGTAGACACAGGTCTGAGGGGATCTGGGAGGACCCACCAGTTTGCTCTGCACACAGACAACCCCTCCTCTTCCTCCTCCCTGTGTCCCTGGTTGGAGACAAACAGGCCTACCAGAGATAGCACAGTGCTGCCCAGCCAGAACTCCCCCTACCTGTTGGGAAGGTGTTGCCCCTCAAGATAGCTGTCAGTGCCATTTTTCCAGAGTGAGTTCCCTGTGCATGAAGGAGGCTTGTCTAGCAGAACACAGAAACAAAGGGTAACAGGCTGGCCAGGGCCCTAAAAGATGGCACCCTGGTGGCCAAGGGTTCTACAGAATCAGGGTAGCAACTAGGCGGGACAAGGCCTTGCAGTGGGGAGATGCAGGGGACCCCTGGTGTGTACTGCAAGGAGAAGCTGTAGGCAGGTGTCAGCCAGGCGACCTAAGATAAGGCAAGGAGGTATGGATCCAGGCCCTGGAGCCCTGAGATGCTGCGGGTTGCTGTGCTTGGGCTCCATCCCGCCAAAGACAGAAGAACCAAACAGGTGCCCATAGCTCTGGGGAGGGATGAGGCTCACCTTCCGTGTTGGGAGTTGCCCCACCATGGTCATGACCGTCACACACTCATGGTTTCACCCTTCAGTCTGCATATATGTGGAGGCATCTGTGTTTCTCATGTCAGACAAAGAGGGGTCTACACTGAAGGGTCTGGGGAGAGTGGACCCCATCCCTGCCTCCTGCTCAGAGCCCTCCCACTACCTCCACAAGCTGACAGACCACTGGCTCACCTTTGAGTACAAGGCTCTGCCTCCTGCAGACCACTGCAAACACACAAACCAAATGCTGTACAGATGCAGCTTTCAAAGAGCCTTGCGCCCTTAAATCCCAAACCAAAATGGCAGCTTTACCCCACATTCTGAGGCCAAAGCTAAGATAGGAAGGCCAAGCAAGGTGGACAGGAGGCATTCAAAGCTCCCTATCCCCCAAAGCCCAGCCCAGAGACACAGGGCACACGGGACAGATGAACGATAGATGCTAACCCCAGGCGCCTCTCTTGGAAAAAGACCCTGGAGTGTGTGTCCACTCCTCCCACCCCTTTTCTCATCTTCCTGCCCTACCCTGGGTGGACCCAGCCTGGCTTTCCCCTGAGAGGGGCTCACACTGCAGCCACCCCCCCACCCCCAGCCCTACTGCCTGCCAGGGGCACACAGCAAGAGAAGCCAGCTTTCCAGGAAAGCCTGAGAAGAGTTTGCCAGCAGGGACACAGGGCCAAGCCCTGAGAGGGTCAGTGATGGGGAGGGGTCATCCCAAGTTCACAGAGGACAGGAATCAGGACAGACACCAAATTCCTTGTTTGCCAGTATTTCCAAATAGCTCCTCAAGCTTACACCAAAGCCCCATCTCTGGCATCCATCTGCCCATTACCCTGCTCCTCCCCCAACTTCAGTTATGGATTAATTCCTCTTATAAGTTCATCCTTCTGACTCCTCAGCCATCCCACCCACCTACCCACCCCTTTATCTACTCACTTGCCTCTCCATCCACCCACCTGTCTCCCCCATCAACCCATCCATCCACTCATCCATCCAACCACCCCTCTGTCCTTCCACCCACCTGTCCCTCCATCCACCCATCCTCCCACCCGCCCCTCTGTCCACCCATCCACTCACCTGTCCCTCCAGCCACCATCCAGCTATCTGCACCTGCATTTGTCCATCCATTACACCCTTCCCTGGATGCACACCATGCATCTGACTGCCTTCCAGTCCCACACAGCCATCGCTGGATCCGTCCCCTGACCTTCTCTCCACCCCTGCACCCAGAGCAGCATCACCAGCTTCCTCAGTGTACCAAAGCCACAAGGGCACCCTGGTTTCTCCTGTGACCTGACTGCTTTACCCTGGGCTGGCTCACAGGGAGTGAGGCAGCAGCCCCCTCCCAATACCCCATCAGGCTCAGGCCCAGGCTTGCTCCAAAATACCTGCAGGGACAGAGGAGGCTCTGCTGGGGGCAATGTGGGCAGATTGGACCAGGAGTGTGTTAGGAGGTAGCCAGCACACCTGCTCAGGGGCTCTGCAGAGGTGGCAGTCAGTATAAGTACATCCCTGATGAGGCTCGCCCCCCTTGTCTCCAGGGGTCAGTGCCTAGAGAAGAGGTCCCCAGGAGAGGAGGCAAGTTCAGGCTGGCCTGCCTCCAGATAGAGCAGCATTCCAGGCTCCTCTCCTGAGGGCACTCAGGGTGCCCTTCCTATCTTCTCAGAGTGGGACCCTTTTAATCTGCCCTGACCAAAGTCCACTAATGGTGGTGGGTGTCCCTGTGACCTTGGGGACTGGCCACAGACTCCCTAGCCCTGGGCCTCATTTCACTGCCCTGCCCTGTAGGTCTACTGTATGGGGTCCTTTCTGCATTGAGGCTGGGGAGAACCCCTGGACCCCATCAATGCTGGCAAGACAGGAAGAGAAGGCAGGGAGGAGAATTGAGGTGAGCTGGACTTGGAACCACCTGCTCCTGCAAAAGCCTGGGGCAGCTGGCACCAGTGACAGCAGCCTGCATGAGTCCCCAGGTTCCAGAAAATTCCATCTTGCTTGTTTCTGTTCCTTTTGTTCCCATCCAGCTGGCCCCCGGCGTAGCACCCCAGAGACCCGGAAAAGAGGGACCCAGCATTGTACTCAAGTGCAGCCTGTTCTCTACACACTAAAAAGAAGACATTGGTGCCTCTGCCCCCCACCTGGACAAGGGGGCCAGCCAACCTCTTACTCACCAGCCCTATGCTTGGTGGGCCAAGGGTCAGGCCCAGGGGGTGCGGCCACACACAGCCTGCTGGGAACAGACTCAAAGTTCCACTTCCTCTTTTCCGTTTTCGTTTCCCCAAATTAGCCGGACTGAGAGTGCTGGGCTGTTCTCGTCATGAGAAGCTGCACCCCACAGTCTTCGTTTTCTGTGGGTGCTGTGGCATGCTACCCATCACCCCCTGCTGTCCTGTACGTTTGGCCTGTGGGCACCGTGAGCCACAGTGATCAGATCCACTGTCCATGTAATAAAAAACGTTTGCCAGCACATGGACTTGCCTCTCCTTGGGGCCAGCATCGCCACTTATTCACCAAATACATGGTGGGGCTGTCTGGGCCAAGCAAAAAGGACAGACGCCTCCCTGTGGACAGACAGCAAGGGTGGCCCTGGTGTTGGGCGTGGTGGGGAGGAGGCAGGGCCAGGGCAATGCAACTCCATCCAGCTGCTAACAGTTCTTGGCAGTTGGGTGACCCTTGAACGGTTGTGTGTCCAGGGGGTTCTGGACAACCTCAGACCCCAGAGATGACCTTGGTGGCTTCGATGGCTTGACCCCTATGACATATTCCCCCTGAGGGGTACTCTGAGGACCTAAGGTGACACAGGGAACGTGGGGGAGCCTCTCAGGATGGCACAGGAGACCTAAGAATGGGGAAACAACAGGAAGGTCACCATCTCGGGTTGCTGGGGTGTGCCCCACTCAGAGGCAGGTCCCATCAAGAGTCAGATGCCTGGCCTTGGAGCTCTGGAGGGTGCTGGCAGCTGCCTGGGGGAAGGGGCTATCTTAATACTCAGCCTGACTTGGAACATAGTGTATTTTGAAGGTGTTGTTGAAAAGGCCAGCATGGGGCGCACTGTCCCCAGGCCAGGCACCTGGCAGGAGCCCCACTGGCGCTGGTGTGTCAGTGTCTCAGGACAGCATGGAGTGACAAGGTTTTTCCATTGCAGAGCTGAGCTCAGAGGGGAGGCGGGCCGGGGGCTGGGTCGTGTCCAGCCAGCCTTGGCTTGCATGCAGCCTGCAATGTCCTGCCTCCCACATGGAAGTAAAGGGAAGGAAGGATCCAGACAAGAACCTCAGACACACAGGGAGGTGAAGAGGAGTGTGGGAGAAGCCCACACAGCGGCCTCTCGGGGAGGAGGAGCAGCAGGGAGGCAGCAGCCCAGAGCACAGAGCCCTGGGATGCTGCACACCCTAGTGGGAGCAGCTGTGTGAATCAGGGGGGCGGTTCCAGGCAGATTTCCTTTCTCTAAAGCCCTGGACCCACCCAGAGGAGTCCTTTGCTCATGGGCCTCAGCACAGTGTTCAGTTGGCCCCTTTGGTGATGAGAATAGAATGGGCACAGTGAGGAAGTGGGCAGTCAAGCTATGGGACAGAGGTTGATGACTTGCCTGGGGCTGCAGTGAGCACAACATCGCCCACCTCAGTCCCCTCGGTGGGTGGGAAGAACAGTGGTGAGCTCTGGTACACAATGCAGCTCCACCAGCTGCAGCCTCTGTCTGTCCTCTCCCAGCCCAGATTCCGGGGAAGAGACTCCCTTGTCCAGCTTGGGGTCTTCAGTCACGGAGAAGCACAGCTACAGTTCTGGGGCAGGTGGGTACTCCAGAGGGTCCCTGTGGACAGCTTTTGGGATGTCAGTAAAGGAGAAAAGTGTGCACACCCTGGCCCGTAGGGCAGGTGCAGCCTGAATTAGGCCAGAGCAAAGTGGGGACACCAACCAGGCTTGTTGGTGCCCTGGCAGGAAGGAGAGTGGATGCAGGCCTGCTTCTGCCCTCCAGGGTGGTCGGGGGCAGAGGGGCAGCAGCTTGGGACAGGGAGACCGCTGCAGACTGCCTGCAGGCCGCAAATGTCCACTACCCAATTTGCACATAATTCAGCCACCGAAGCCATGCCTCCCACACGGCGAAGGGGTCAGTTTAAGTGGCTCTCATATAAAGTGGGGACCTGAGGGGATCCATGGGGTGAGCAGAATGTGGGGCGAAGGTTGCAGTCTCTCTCCTGGGCATCCCTGGGCTAGCCCACGCCAAAGCCTTTAGGGGTCCTTTCTGTGCCTGATCCCTTTGTGCCCAGACTCCCACAAGGCCAGCTCCCCCAGAAGGTGGCTTTGGTCTTTCCTGCCCCTGCCCTTGGGTAGCTTGCTTATGCCCAGGTGTGGACTGGGGCTTACTGTTAGAGGTGTGTCTTTGAGTATGGTATATACACTGAGGATCAAGGGGAGACCCTGGTGAACACACCACATGGCTGAGCTGGTGTAGGTGAGGCCCTGCCCTCTCCACACTAGACTCAGCCACACTCCTCTCCATGTGCGTATGCTGGAGGTATGGCCAGTGAGGAGGAGGGGCAGGGTAGGGGGACTGTGGCCTTTGACCTCCCAGCCTGGCAAGCCTGGGTGGGTGTGACCTGCCCAGCTGGGGAGGCCTTCTTCAGTGCTATAGTGGGAGCACCTGGCTTGAGGGAAGGCTTAAAACAGTGAAGGCAAGTGTGCAAAGGCCTTACATGGTCTACCCCCCTCGTCTACCCATGTGGCCCTTCGTAAGCCACACTCTCTTCCCAGCCCCCACGGAGGCCTGGCTTCACACGGTGTCCTCAGACCCTGAGGCCCAGGGGTGGGGGGCCTGGAGCAGGACCCCTCTGGAGCCAAGGGGTGGGGACGGAAAGGAGGAGAAGAATGGGGTAGCTGAGGAAGATGGTGATGAAGACACAAGCTTCTTACTATCCCTGTTGGTGCCAGAGAACTTGGCCATGTCCCCAGTACCTGACTCGGTAGCAGATGAATGTGGAGTGTGGAGGCAGGGAAGGGGCCTAGGGCAGAGTCAGAGGAGGGAGGCATGGGGACTGAGGCCGCAGCTGGCTTAGGAGGTGAGAAGGCTGCAGTCCACCTGCCTGGAAGAGGAAGCCGTGAGCCCAGTGCCGCAGGCCACAAGGGCTGGGCAGCTTCTCTGGCCAAAGGAGGGGTTGTGGGGGGGAGCAGGGGTTTCTGGGGGGTGGGGCTGAGCATCTGCGGGCTTCAGGAAGGGGTAGTTCCTTAGTAACTGTGAAGCCCTGAAGGGCTGGCCAGCCACACCTGCCTTCCCTCTGGCTGCCCACCCCCAGGCTCACTACAAGGTGCATTGGCAGGAGCTGAAGGCCATTAGGCTGAAGCTATGGGCCATGGAACAGGCCGAGGGGCTGCTGGGGCTGCCCAGTGGTCAGAGAGAAGCCAGGAAGAAGGGCACTGGGGCCAGGCAGCTACTGAGTCCTGAGACCACAGGTAGGAGCCAGGGCCTCTGCTGACCTCATTTAGATGACTGTCCCCAGCCCCGCCCAGCTTGGAGCTCTGAGCCTTTCGCGCTCCGCATGGGTGGGGGGGTGGAAGTGGTGCAAAAGCCACCAAGGGAGCATTCCAGGTATCTCCATGGGATTGGGCCTGGCAGACTCCAAATTTTGGCCCTCCCCCAAGAGCTTGGGCAACCTTCTCCCCAGAGGGGTGTGAGGAATGAGCCCCCTACCATGGGGTCCTGATGGTGAGGACCTCCCTCTGCAGGCTGCCCCTTCCCCGGGAGCCCCAAGGAGAACGCGGAGGCCGACCACAGATCCATCTTCGTGGGCAACGTGAGTGTGGGGGAGAGCAGTCACATCCCTTCCACAGGGCCCAGCCCCATTCGGGGGCAGCCGCTCTAGTGTCCTTCTTTGTGGATGGGGCTGGCTGTCCTCCTGGCTGGCATTGAGATGAAAGGAAACAGTCCATCAGCTTGCAAACTGTAGCAAGTCCAGGGCCCGTGGGAGGGGCAGCCTGATGGTCCCCTGGAGAAACGTGGGCCTGTTAGCAGACATTCCGACTTCTCAACAGGAGCTGGAAGTCAGGGTTTTTGTGCGAGATTTACTTTTTTTTTTTTTTTTACAGTACTGGGGTTTGAACTCAAGACCTCAAACTTGCTAGGCAGGAGCTCTACCACTTGAGTCACGCTGCCAGCCCTTTTTGACTTATTAGTTGTTTTTCAGATAGGGTCTCACATTTTTTTGCTTAGGGCAGGCCTCAGACCATGGTCTTCCTCCTATGATACCTACCAAGTAGTTAGGATGACAGACACGCACCACCACACCTGACTTATTGGTTGAGATGGGATCTAAGTCATTTTATGCTTGAGCTGACCTCAAACTATGATCCTCCTGATCTTCATCTCCCTAGTAGCTGGAATTACAGGCATGAACTTCCATGCCCAGTGAGATTTACTACTTTTAAAAGGTTACATGCAAGCCACCATGCCCACACAGGAAGCATGTGAACATCTCTTGGTTCAGATTCCCTCCACCCTGGGCAAGGGGCTGTAGCCTCGGTCTATCCTCAACCAGGGGCCCGATCTTGGGGTTCTTCCCACCCCTCTCTGCCAAGAAAACCCTGCAAGAGGCACAGCCTCCCTGTGGAGCCCCAGCACATACAGCAGGTACCCTTGCCTGAGAACAGGTGGACTATGGGGGCACAGCCAAGGAATTGAAGGCCTACTTCAACCACTGTGGGGAGATTCACCGTGTCACTATCCTGTGTGACAAGTTCTCCGGACACCCCAAGGGGTCAGTATGGGGCTACGGTCAGGGCAGAGTGCGCAGGGTCTCATGGGCAGTATGCACCTGGCCTCTCATGCCTACCCCTTTGCCCCCAGCTATGCCTACATAGAGTTTGCCTCCCAGAGCTCTGCCCAGGCTGCTGTGGAGCTGGACAAGAGTGTCTTCCGCGGACGGATCATCAAGGTGGGTGTCTCCAGGTAACTCCCCGCACCCTGGGCCACCCTGGGTACCGAGCCCTTTGTGTATATTAGCTTATGGATCCTTAGGAGCCAAGGAAACACAGTAACAGAGAGGCTCCAGAACAGCTGCCCACCTGTGTGCCTTGGCCATGTAGGTAGGCAGGGGTGCAGGGGGTGGACCCTCAGATCCTGGCCTGGGGTTGGTCTGGATGTGGCATAGGGGAGATGCTCCCCTCCTGAGCTGGGCTCCTCTGCAGAGAGAGTGGTGATCACTGGGCATGTCACATGACCACAGCTGCGTCCAGGTGAAGGTGGAGGACAATTTGGGCCTAAATGGGTATCTTGAGATCAGGAATCCCAAGCCCTGGGCCCCACCTGGAGCTGGCTTTATGCTGCCTGGCAACGAGGGTATGTTAACAGAGTCTTGGAACCAATGTGGTCTTTGGTCCCAGGTGCTGCCCAAAAGGACCAACTTCCCAGGAATCAGCTCCACAGACCGTGGGGGCCTGAGGTTTTATCCAGGCCCCAGGGCCACGACCCTCCCTCCCAGCAGCCTCCAGGACAGGCCCTGGATCAGAGCACGTGGGCGTGGGCATAACCAGTAAGATGGGCTCTGTGGGGGGGGGGGCACTGGGGACATGAGGGGCCCCGAGCCTGGCTCTGTTGTGGACTCAGGGCTGTAGCAGTTCTCTGTACTCCATGCTAACATGGGCTGGACATCTGCTCATTGTGGCCTGAGCCACAGAGGCACAGAGCACTCAGGGGGGCTGAGTCAGAGCCCAGCCTGAAGACCTGTGTGTGTCCCTGCTGGGAGGGCTGTTCCTTCCTGGTCCAGCAAAGGCTCTGCAGGGGACAGGCATCCCTGCATTTGGGGATGGAGTCCACAACAGGCTCCTGCAGCCTAGCAGGTGTGCATTTCTGACAAGTTCATGAGAGGATGTGCTAAGCCCATGGATCACATGTTGCTACTCCCAGTCCCAAACCTCCTCCTTTTCCAAGGCCCCTCCCAATAGAACCAGAAGCTATGGAAGGCACCCCCCAAAAAAGTCTCTGAGCTAGTGTCCCCCAGGAGCCCCTCTCCTGAAGGCTGCTTACCTGCCATTGTTCTCCCTTCCTGTGCAGGGGCTGTGGAAAAGTCTCAGTGTGGTTCACACCCTACTGAAGGAATGGCCCAATTTTGAGGCTGGGTCTGGGCCTGGGTCAGGACTAAACAGCTGCATTCCCCAGAGGACCACTTATTCCGGGCCAGGTCTGTGTGCCTGCACGGCTCACCAGGGCCTCACAAGGTGGCCTGGACCCCTACTGTCACACGGCCAAACAGCACGGTGGGTGGGCCAGGCCTGGGGACTCTGGATGGGGGCGTGGAAAAGGGATGGGGCCCAGGGCCAACGAGGATTGTCTCCTTGATTCCTCAACTCACTGGTTTTAAAGAAAAATAGAAATGTGTATGGTCTTAATGGTAACATAAATTATTAAATTTGAGTATTTTTAAGAGCAAATGACAACAGATCTCCCCTTTTCTCTCCTGTCTTGGACACAGGTTCATTTGCATCTTTCTCTTGGGGGCTCCACAAAGAGGGTGATAATAGGATGTGGTTGTGGGTCCCAGAGAATGGGGATGTACAATTCTCCTGGCAGCAAACAGGGCAGCTCCTCCCCTCCTTGCCCGTAACTCTATGCCAGGTTGGACCTCAGGGGCACGTACACCGCCCCGCCCCCCCCACTTCCTCACCTTGGTGGCACTTGGCTCTGGCAAGGTGCTCGGGAAGAAGTGAAGGCCTCTGTTCTATGCACTGTGTCCCCAATGAAAGTGGGGACTCCTGCCCAGTCAGGGCCAGAAAGGAGGCTGGGCTAGGCCCCAGTGAAACTCTTGACTTGCATTAAATCTCTACCAGCAGCTTCCCTGATTTCAGCTCCCCCTCGTCTGTCACCAAGAGACCTGCTCTAGGGACAACCCTCCCTGGGCCCCATCCATGCTGGCCTTCCACATCCTCCCCAGCCTCTTCACAAGCCCGTGATCTTGGGTCAACTTTGGCCTTTCTGTGGCCATGAATGGTGCCTTCCCCCACTTGCCCAAGATATGATCCACCCTAATCTCCAGTCTGAAGGTGACCTCAGGTGGAAAAAGACTCTTTGCAGACGTGATTAAATATCTCCAAGTGACTGTCTGAGCCCTAAATTCAACAGCATGTGTATCACGTAGCACATCTGATGACAATGGTGTGAAGACGGAGCCTAAATCAGAGTCAATTTCTCTCAGCCAAAGAACACCAGGGGTGGCAGAAGCTGGCTCCCCCAACCTGGGGTACTTACTACATGGTGGCCGAGACTGCACAGCCTTGATTTATCTCTGGTCCCAGGCATTTCCTGGTAATGATCAGATCTGCCCTGACCAGCCTGGCACTGGTCCCTTGTGATGTTTGCCTTGGGGAAGATGCTAACAGCCTATCAGCCTCCAGGATAGCTCTGGGAGTCTATGAAGTGGCCAGACCCACTGCAAAAGGTGAGGACCAAGGCCTAGGGTCAGGCCTTGCTGAGAGCAGACCTGCCCAGCTGCTCAGATGGGCTGCAAGGGTTCTGAGCTACTGGGCTACAGCTGTGGGGAAGTAAGTATTCCCACAGGGTCACTGGCCAAGCCTAGGGGATAGCTTCAGCTTTGCAAGTTTACCATAGTGCCATGGGCCCACATAGTAAGTTCACTCCTTACTATTCCTGAGGGAGCCCAGGAATTTCCTGCTTTCCCACAGACTAGAGGCCTGCACAGGCCAAAGGGTAGGGAAGACTGAAAGCACACCCTGTGCATGGCCTCCACACAGTGGTGAGGACCCCAAGCCACTGCTGCCCTTGCCCCTGGTGTGTGGCTCGAGGAAGAAGAAAGCATGAGAGGAGGTTATGTGGAGTAAACGCCACAGGCAGACTAGCATTGCCATCCATGGCCCCAAGACAGGGCTCAGTCCTGGGGTGGAGGACAGCCTAGGGAGGCAGGTGTCAGGAATCAGGGTGGAGGTGAGATGGAACACTACCTCCCACAGGTCTGATGTCAGCACAAAGGCCAGCAGACTACATCTAACCCATTTCCTAGCGCTTACAATGGGGCAACTCCCCCACAACGTGCAGGAAAACTCCCTACAGGACAAGGCACTCACTGCACCTAACAAAAAACCCAGATGGGCAGTGGCTTCACCAAGACGGGGGTACGTTTTATTTTCTCATGGAATGAAAGTTAAACACAACTAGCTCAGGCCCAGACTCCTTACTTTCTGCGCTACCCTGCTTATGCGTTCAGAAGGGCTGTCTGAGGTAGTGGTTACATCCAAAGTTCAGGCAGGACAGACACAAAAGGTGACGGGTATTCCATGTGCCAGCTCAACCTTTCTTTCCTACAGGTCTCTCCCAACACCACCCACTTACACACCTTAAACACTGACCCCTGTGCTGGGGAAGGGAGGAATGTGTTCATGTAGCCAACAGTCTCCAGGAAACCTGCACTTCCGTCAGTAAGGAAGGCAGGGAGAGGGACATTGTGATGTGCAGCCCCCGCGGCAGCCAACACTCAGGCAGGGTGATCCCTCCTGACAACTCAACCAGGCCCCCGCGCCTGGCCAGAAGCCCTCCCTTTCCCAGCAGATGCAGCACTCGTTAGACTTCAGCTCCCACGCTGGGTGCCTCCATGTAAGAATCGCTGCCTGCTTGCGTTATTTCTTGGCCCTGCTTCAGGGCTTCACACACCTGGGGTTGGGGGCCTGGGGCTTCTTTTCTGATGGAATTTAAATGAACCCTGTGCTCTTTGGCAGTTCAGAGTTCCTCAGAGACCGGCTCCTCTTCCATCCCATGCCCAGCCTGACTCCTGGGGACAGCCTACTGTTTCCTTGAGAAACTGCCCTGCTGGGGAGGGAGGCACCTTGGGGAAGCCGGTGACTCTGAAGACAGCACGGAGTACAAGACACTAGACTTGTCCTCATGGGCTCAGACACTTCCCACGCATCTTCATTCACCCATTCCGTCAAGTGGCCAGAAGGGAGCCAGTGCCAGTCACCTGACCCCAAGCAGCAGCTGCTACCTCCATCTGGCTGCTGGCTGCACAGGGCTGGTCCTGGGGGCCTGGAGCAGCAGTAGGCCACCTCCTAGCCAAACTGGGCCCTGAAGGACAGGAAAAGGCTCTCACTCACGCTTTGCTCATTTGGTGTTTGAAAAGTGCAGCAGATCAGATGCGTGGTCCATGAGGCTTTCCTGATTTTATGGGGCTCCCAAGGCCAGGGCTGGGCTGAGATGTAGAACCAGACACTGACACTCACTGGATGGTAGGTCAGAACACAGAGGGCCCTCCTACAAGTGGAAAAGTGTGTACCCTGGATCGACAAAACCCTCCAGGCTGGCTCTGGGCTCCCCTGACCTGTTCAGCTGACAGAACGCTCAGAAACAGAGGAGGGTGGAGTAGATGCCAAGTGCTACCACCCTGTGCCCACTCTTTGTGCCTCCTGGCTGCAGTCACAGCTCTTGCCATCTGCAGGGTGTCAGGGCCCCAGGCATACTACCCCACCCCCTCATGCCCCTGGGAACACACTTCCCGCTACACTGGGTCCCTGTAGGTCCTCTGCTGACACAGGACAGGGCAGATCTCACATCTCACAAGGCCTTTAGTGGAGAGGCACTGGGCCCAAGGCCCACCTGGCCCGTGTATGTCCATTACAATCAGGAAGAGGAGGGATAATAAATAGGTGTCTCCAGACACGCGTGTACACGCTTCTCTTCAAAGGGACCGCAGCAGAGTTCCTGCTCAGCAGACCTGGACCATCATCGACGTCACCATGCCATCAAAAGCCCTGGAAGAGAAACAACCCATTCGAGGGGCAGCTCCCGCCCTCCTCCCCTTGCAACAGAGACAGGCACTGTGCCCTGGTCCCCAATACACCCTGGGTGTCTCTAGATCCCAGCTACACCAGCTACACCTCCACCCAGAGGCCACGATGTGAGCCCACTGCACTGGCAAGGAGACCCCTGTCCCTGCAGTCCCTGCTCAGCTGCTTTAGTCCCACTGGCTCCCATGGGCTTCCCTGCAGGTCTCCCAGGGCCAAGGCCAAAGTGTGAAGGCAAGGGTATAGAGTGGACCTCGTGGGTGGGCGGCGGTGCCCCTATCCTGTGCAGCTGGAAACACCTGCCTGCTCTCACCTGGGACCCAGGATGACCCAAAACACACTATATCTGGCTGAAGAAAGGCACTATGGAAAGGGCCTGCCTTGGGTCAACTGCAAGGAGCCCCTGGGGAATTGTCTCAGAAGAAGGGAATTCCTAGATGCTATACACAGAGCTCATGCTTCCTCACAAAACATTCCTTCACAAGTTAAGTCTGTCCACTTAGAAGCTGTGTGGAAGACACCTGCAGTCAAGTTCTGACAGTCCAAGTTCAACACAAAAGGCACATCAGGCAATGTCAAGGGGCATTTCTCCCTGAAGGTTACCACGCATAGGTTGGACCCTTGCTCAATTCTCTGGAGATCTTCACGCATACCTGGGAAACCAAAAAGGCCACTCCTACCCACTCCCTCCACCCCATATCAGCTGTGTACATTGCAAGTCTGCATCAGAGATGACTTGGAAGAACAGGGACTTGCTGTTTGAAATCACTGCCTGGGGGACAGTGTTCATGGCTCCCTTTTTTTTCAAATGGCTACACTGCAGGAAGGTGGGCTCAGAGACCAGGCCCACCTAGACTGGATGCAGTCCCCGGGGTTGTAGAAGGGGTTGCACATCACATCTGTGTAGGAGTTATGCAGCTTCCGGAACATCTGAAACAAGACCAGACAACAGTTTAAATAATCCTGCATAAGGCTAATACCAGACTTTTGGTTCTCAGCCATTTTAACACAAAGTGAAAAGGGGAAACAAAACCCCCCTCCCCACCACCCGGGCTTGACCTCCAAGGCCCCAAACGCACGCTGCGAATTTCATTGTCTCGAAGGGCTGTGTTGGAGGAGTCCACCACCATGATGAACTTTACCCTGGAGTTGGTCACATAGCCGTATCTGCATAGCTGGTTAGGGAACATACTTTAACAAATGACACCCAGCATCCCTGTCAAGAGCCTGTAAACAGAGGGACCTCTGTATGTCCTGAGTTTGGAGAAGTTTGACAACCTCGAATCACAGGAAGTGCCCAAGCCGGGGTGGTCCTGTGACACCACACAGATATGAGTCAGCACTTGACTACTGTTTGCTGGAGGAGCAGAAGCAGCTAGGCTCCCCCAGTCTCAGCCCCCAAGTCTGTGTGTGCAGCAGGAACACCCTGGCCACTTTCTGAATCACTGCCAATCCTGCAAAGTTAACTGTAAAGCCAGAACTTTCACAAATAAGGTGAACCCCACTCTGGAGGCCACATGTCACTATGGATAGCTACATTTCTGCCCAAGGGAACATCTGTGAATTCAGAGGTGTTGTGCTATTTATCCAAGAGACTGGTCAAGTTGTCCAGTGCCATATGAGGCTGGACCTAACAACGAAATGTATGAAACAATCACCCATGCCCAAAGGTGCTGGCCCCTGAAGAGCATGGGGAGACACCCTGCAGGCACAAAGCCAGGAAGCCCACATTGTCTCCAAGTGTGCCCACATCTTCCTCAGAGCTCAGCCTTGCTTTTCCCAAATTCATCTTCCAGTTAAAGGGACACAAGGGTAAGAGAGCTTCATTACCTGCAGGCAGTCCCAACTGCCCAACCAGCTGAAAACCTCACATTTTTCTTTTCAAATGTTTCCTAACTAGGCAAGGCCCTAGGTTCAACCCCCAGCACTGAAAAAAGAAATCAAATATTTCCTAAGCACACCCTGCCTTCAGGCGCAGGAACAATGCCTGGGCACTGAAGGATACACCTTGTAGTCCTCCGTTGGATATAGCAGGCCCAGGTAGAGCTCCCTCTGGTCCACCAGTGCCTTTCCCATGGCAGACACCTTTTCATCCACCACATCCAGGGACGTGTGCACCATGTAGTGGAACTTCAGCTCATTTTCCATGGGGGTGCTGCGGATGTAGAGAGGGTAATTCTGCAAGAAAGAATGGTGACTGCTGAAGGGAGAATCCACTCAGCACATGTCAGTTCTGAAAACAGTGCCTAGTGCTCTGGAGGTGCATGCAGTCTGCCAACTACCTAGGGAAGGTGCTCTCCTTCCCTAAAATCTATTGCTTCATTCTCTACACTGCAGGGGGCACTGCCCTTGGGGCCCAGTTTAATCTAGTCATGCTATGTGCTGTTTGCATCAGGTGGGCGGGAAAGAGAAGACTCAGGAAAATAGGTTTGAGTGCAGTCTGACAACCTATCACCTGAGTGGGTCAGTCATCTTTCTGGGGTCCACTCTGCTTCGACTACCTCTCACTCTGTGGGTGGCCATCCTAGCACAAGAAAGGACAGTGACTCTGTTACTAAGCAACTTCGAGGCTCCGCTTAAACCTATCTCTGCAGTTCTGACCGTCCTAACCCCAGAGTGCATATTCTCTCCACTGGGCCTTGGAGAGGTCTTGTGAAGGAGGTGTTGCCCTCACCTACTGGAGCCGAATGACACCAGCTCAACAGAACAACAAACACACACACAGGATACCTGACTCAGGACAACTTAGCATTCAACACTGGGCTTTACCATGAAGTCTCGCTAGGTAGCAAATGAATTTCTGACTTACAGTTTTGACCGAGCATGGATTTATGAGTACACAACCCCATCATAAAGAAGAGCACCTGCAAATACTAAGTCCGGGCGGGACCACATACACGCAGAGGGAAGACATGCATGGCTTTGCAGCAGTCACTCTCTGACCATGGCCCCTGAGCTGATCTCAGGGAAGAACTTGATAGGAAACAGGTTCCGGGTGGAGCCCGAAAAGCTGTCTAAACATTCATAAGCAGCTTTGTAGTGAGGGGTATGGAAACTGGGGAGAGGCGCTACAAGTGCAAATGCCCAGAGAAGAGAGGCCAGGGCCTGTCCGGGGGCAGCACGTGCTTCACTTTGGTTGAAGTGGAGCGTGCAGGTGGAATGGGGTAGGGGACCCTAAACTAGGTTATTCTAATTCAATCCTAAGGCAAGGGGAAGCGCTTGGACAGATTTTAGGCAGGGGCGCGACACGATCCCACTGGTTTTTAAGCAGCCCTGGCAGGAGCGGGCGGCAGAGTCCGTAGGCGGGGCAGAAGGATGGAAAGCGGAAGGAGGCGGTAGGGAAAGAAAGCGCAGAGCTGGGGGCCCACCCGCCTGGCTTCCGGTGTGTCCCAGACGCTGATGCCGGCTCGACGCCCGGGGTGGCAGCTGAACGGCGGGTGCAGCTAGGAGATCCACACGCCCCTGACTACCGGACTCGGTCGGGGTTCAGGGAGAAGCAGGGGCAGAGCGGGGTCCCACTGGCCCGGGGCAGGAGGGTCGCCGCCCGCCCGCCGAAACGCACCTCCTTGGCGATCACTGCGATGCACACCGCCATCTTGGCAGGCCGCGCGACGCGTCACGTGACCTGCCGTCCGCCAAGGCCCGCCCCTCCCCGGCTGTCACTCAGCGGGCCAGGCCCCTCCTCCCGCCACGTGGCTCACTCGACCGGGTTCACGCTGCTGTCCCGCCCATAATGTCCCACGGGAGCCCAGACCACGCCCCTCTCCACGTGACTCCGCCTCACCTATCCGGTCAGGCTCAGGACCCGCTTAGCCTGTCATTCAGCTGGCCAAGGCCCCACCCCGCCCCGCATCGGCGCAGGCCTTGTTCCTCTCCACCCGTCAATCAGCTGCCAAGATCCCGCCCCTCTTCGCCCGTCACTCAGCCGCCTGTCCCCGCCCCTCTCCGCCCGTCACTCAGTCGCCCGGCCCCGGGCTGGGAGAGCCGCGGGCCTGTACCTCAGTTCGCTTGGTGGCCCGGCTTAGCTGCGTACGGCGTGGTTGCCATGGCGGCAGTTGCCGCGGCGACAAGGGGGTGGCGGCTGCTGGTGCTGCTGTGTACCGCGGTGCTCGCGACCGCGGGCGCCCCGCAGCCCCCCAACATCGTGCTGCTGCTTATGGATGACGTGAGTGCGGGCGCGGGGCGGCGCGGGGCCTGCGGCAGGGACTCGGCAGGACCTCCGCCCTGGACCCCGGACGGAAGGTCAGCGGCAGCGGCGCATGGTGGCCCTGCCCGCCTGCCCTGGGCCTGCCGTCCGGGTCCCATGGCTCGAGACCCTCGGGACTGTGGCCGAAGGTCAGGCAGGGAAGAGCTGAAATAAAAGTCACCTGAGGGGCAGATGTGCAGCCCATAACCTTTACATCTGCCACTTGGGCAGCTCTGCCCTTGTGTCCCTTATCTGCGGAATGCGTGTGTCCCTGGAGTGAAACGAGACGGGGAAATCAGTCTTCTGGGGGACTGGGGTCACGTGGGCAAACCCCACTAGGTAGAGGGGTGGGTTTGCTCCCTGTGAGTGGCACCTGTGGGCTGTCCTGGTGGTATGGTGACCGAGACCACATTGAATTCAGAACAGCTGGGGGCCATGTGGGCCCCCTGGCTCCCTAAAGGCTAAAGGCCAGCAGAGCCCCCAACAGGCCTTTAAGCCCATCTTGTGTTGACCAGCACCGTGACCGCAAGTTGCATGTGGGCATTGCATAGTGTGCTAGTAAGAATTGGTGCTGTGTATGTAAGATGCACTGGAATTTCAGAGATTTTCTTCTTTTGAAACAGGGTCTCCGTACATAGCCCAGGAGGGCCTCGAATTCACAATTCTCCTTGCTTGCATTGTGGGACCCCCACGCCCAGCTAGATTTCAGAGACTTAAAATGAAAAAAGGAATGTAGAAATTTTGTTTAATAATTACCATTAGTTAATGCTTCTTTATTATAAAAAAATAACAACTTTCAGATACCTTTTATCTGCCACAAAAAGGGCACCCAGGGCTCAACTGTGAGCTTGCTGCTGTCACCTACTAGCACACTGGCAGTCGGCCAACACACCCTGGGGTCAGTCAGGTAGATCAAATGAAAAGAGTCTGGTCTATAGTCCAGCATGCCAGAGGTCACCACAGGCAGCAGTGAGTGAGCTCTGCAATCTCACACACTTATGTGGACACTGACTGCTTTACACAATGGGTTTTCGGCTCCTTGGGGCTCCTTTCTTGGTAGCTATCCACAGGCTTTGCTCAGCAATGAACAAGACCACAATCTTTTCCGAAAAATAGTTTCTGTTTCAATATTCAGTCCTTTCAACATTTGTGTCTCTGGCGGCCGGTTCACATCATTGCTTTTGGAGGCACTGACTGCAGTGGACAGACACTGTCTTTCCGTTCTCTGCCCCCATTCTCCTTTTCAAATGAGTCATGTCTCCCGGCAGCTTGTTAGTAACATTTTATGCTGAAAACTTGTTGGAATGACAAAGTTTAGATATATTGGGTTAAGTAAATATTTGCCTTCGTTTTATCTACTTACTTTTCTAATGTGGCTGCTAGATTTCACAGTGTCCATTGGGCAGTGACATTTTAGAATGGAAGGTCTGAGGATTCTTTTACCCAAGGGAGGTTGACTGGGCACCCTGGAGCTGCCTGGGAGGATACAGGAACGGCTAGCTAGGAGCACTGTGCTGTGTCAAGCAGCTCCTTTCTGTAGGCTCTTCCTTGTGGTTTCAGAGGTTCTTTGGCAGCTGAAACCCAGAGTATTCTGGGAGATCTCAATCCTGGTTAGGAAACACATATTAGTCAAATGATAGAAAACGAACTCAAAAATTTTAAGCAAAAATGGGAATTCTCTATTTCCTAACTAAACCGACCAGGCCACCCCAGCTTCAGGAAGTTCCATCCAGTCTGTCGCTCCCATATCTCTGCTGTGTCTGAGCTGACTCATGATGGCCTCATGACAGCCCCAGGCAACTGCAGGCTCACCTCCCTGCCCCTGTAGTCAGCAGACCTAGCTAGACAGTGACTCTGCTCCATGAATCCTGCCTACCTGACTGGGGTCACACCCCTGAGCCAAGGACATCGGAGAAGGGGAATATGCTGTCCAGCTGGGGCCCACCCTTGGAAGACCACCCCTGGAAGGACTACCCTTAGAATGGGAGGCCCCGTGGGTTCATCTGATCAACCTGACCAACCCTGGGGTGTGGCTGGCAGACAGTGCAGGTGTGCTGACAGGTGGGAGCAGCAAGCTCACAGTGGTGCCCTGAGGTGCCCCCTCCAAGGCAGGTGAGAGAGTGCAGCCTGTGGTAGCACAGAGTACTGGCAGTGCCTCAGTACTCAGAAGGCCTCACAAAGCTGCCTTCTCCCCTATGCAGCCCAGCCTCCTCACTCTGCAGAACAGCTGCCTCTGCCAGCTTCTTCATATCTGAACCTGTAACCAGTAGTTAGCGTGTATCTGGCTTTCCAGGATGACGGTGCAGACCCAGTCTCCAGGCCTGGCCCCATTTATTATTTATTTGCAGTACTGGGATTTGAACTCAGGCCCTTGTGCTTGCCAGGCAGGCACTCTACCACTTGAGCCATTCACCAGCCCTTTTTGTGTTGGTTATTTTTGAGATAGGGTGCAGGCTCTCCTGGACTTCAATACTCCTGTTTTGTGCTTCCCTGAGTAGCTAGGGATGACAGGCACATCACGCCCAGTCATTGGTTGAGATGGGGTCCTGTGAACTTTTGCCTGGCTGACCTCAAACTGTGATCCTCCTGATCTCTGCCTCCCAATTAGCTAGGATTACAGGCATGAGCCACCATGCATAGTCAATTCAAATTCTTGAGGGACAGTCACCCACTGTGACCTAGCTGCCCACAGCACTGTCTTTCCCTAGTACAGGAGAATATGGCCAGGGACATGGAGGGCCAGGCTCATTCCAACTGAGAGGTGTCATCCAGAAAAGGTGATCCCCTAAACTTGTACCATGCAAGTCCCCCTCTGCTGCCGACAGAATTGACCTGCAAAAGACCACCCATCCACCCCTGCTCCAGGGTCTGACCTCTGACCAGGGCGGGAGTCTGCTTCATGCAATAGGAAAGCATAATCAGACTGTGCTCACCAGCCCTAGCCTATGCAGAGGGGCTGAGCCAGCCAGGACAGGGCAGCATCTGTCTAGTATGCCTCAGTGTGTCCTCAGAGTCCAGTGCATACTGGTGGGGCTCATTGACAGAGTTCAGGAAACTTAAACACATGTCCATTCTCAGAGCTGGGACCAGGGACCTGAAACCTGGTATAAACAGTGACAGAAGTCCTCCACTCAGCCCAGGCTGCACCTGCCTTAGAGAGGCAGGAGGCTTGCTGTATCTTTGTTTAATGCAAAGTAGAGTTGAGAAAAATTGTCTTACTCTGGAGGAAGCATAGAGTCCAGCTACATAGGAACAGGCATCTCTACCACAGCGTCTCATCTAAGGGACACTTTGACCTGAAACCACCAGAGCCGTTAGTGGACACAGAGCTCCTTCGATGACATGGAAGTAGATAAGCACAAGCCTGCTTATCTTTGGTTTTTTGCTTTCGTGCAGTGCTGGGGTCAAACCTAGGGCCTTGAGCCTGTTAGGCAAGTGCTGCACCACTGAGCTACACCACCAGCCACCTGCTTGTCTTTGTCATGATCCTGAAGCAACCAGGAAGAAGTGAAACTGCATTTTTAGAAGTCATGAAATATCCCCTGGCAAGGGCGGGGCTTAGAGCAAGAAAAGGGTCATGGTTCACAGTTATAACCAGCTTTCAGTCCTGTTGAACATGGACAGTCATTTGGGGCCTTTTGAACTTTTTTTTTCTTTTAGCGATACTGGGGATTGAACTCAGGGCCTAGACCTGGAGCTTGCTAGACAAGTGCTCTACCACTTGAGCCGTCTTTTTGCTTTTAGTTTTGCTTTTTAGAGAGGATTTCATGCTAACTTTGCCTGGGCTGGCCTCAAAATGTGATCACCCCACCTCCACCTCCTGAGTAGCTGGGACCACAGGTATGCACCAACACACTGGGACTCCTCCTAAAGATTTTATGGGCAGGAAAAAGGATCCTTCACACTGAGTAGAGCTGAGAGGGGATTTGTGATGGTCATTTCATTAGCCCCTACTAACTGTAGGATAGAGGGAGCATGCCCATCTCATAGCTACGAAAGCTAACAAGTCATAGGGAAGTGGATGTGAGCGGAAGGGTTGGCACACAGCCAGGCACCAGTGTCCCTGGGAAAGCCCATCTGTGAGTGGTGGTCCTCAGCTGGCACCAGGAACTGGGATTTGGTTTCCAGCATTCTCTGGGAATTATGGCTCCCTGAGCCTCAGTGTGTGTGCAGCCATCGCAGTTTATGTGGAACACTGGCTCCCTGCTGGGCATCTGGTGTCCTGGTCTGCTGGGTTCAGGTGCGGCCATGACCAGCCCCGTGAGCACCCCTGGCTCTCAGTCCTCAGGAGCTTCTAGGTTGACACCACTCACACAGGTTATCACAACTTGATGCCAGGGTGCAAACCAGGGGGACAGGACAGGGAGCTGCACCCAGTCCCCCAGACCTCTGCCCCAGCCCCGGTGCACTTTCCCTCTTAGGTAGCCTTGCTGTTATGACCCCTCACCATGAGGACCACAGCAGGGACAACTGTGTGTGATTTGGAGTCCTCTGAGAGGTCTGACACCCAGGCTGTCTCCTCCCTAGTGATGAGACTCGAGCCCACATCTTCCGAAACATGTTCTGCTGCGTGCAGATCTGCACTGAAGTGCTGGTGGGGCGGGGTCCTTTCCAAAACAGGCAAAGACCCAAGTCCTGCACGTGCGTCTTGCCCTTGAACCCTCCACTCCTTCCTTCTGCCCAGAGGTGCAGCCACTGTGCTGTGAGGACAGATCTGTACCAGGGCATGGAGCAGGAAGGAACCTGAGCCAGCCTCAGGGAAGCTGCACTGGAGGGATGTTCTGCCCCCAGCATGGGCACAGCTGCCCAGTCCCCAGAATTGCAGACTGGTAACTTCTCTCTGGCCCTCTCCTTAGCTGCCTGACCTCCTGTGCCTGTCTCCTTCCCATCAGGGAATGACACCTCTTGATATCATTGTCATCAGATGGAAAGGCTGTCTCAATGACTTCAGAATGAATGGTCTCAGCCTGGCATGGTGGCTCACTCCTGTAATCTCAGCTACTTGGAAGGCAAAGATAAGGAGGATCTCCATTTGAGACCAGCCTGGGCAAAAAGTTAGTGAGACCCCATCTCAATCAATAAGCCAGGCATGATGGTACATATCTGTAATTCCAGGTATGCAGGAGGCTGTAGTTAGGATTACTAGCTGAGGCCAGCCCAGGGCAGAAATATGAGACCTTCCCTGAAAAATAACTAAAAAGTAAAAAAGGGATGGGAGCGTGACGCAAGTGGTAGAGTGCCCGCCTAACAAGTACAAGGCCCTGAGTTCAATCCCCAGAGTGTGTATGGGAGGGAAGAACCCCATCCCCATAAGCAGTCACTCTCCCTGCCCCGCCACCCCCGACAACCAGTCTGCTTCCCGTCTTGAAGGGTTTGCCTTTGAGGACAGTCCATGTGAGTGGACTCAGTCCCATGTGTCTGTGACTGGCTTCTTCCACTTGTGTGGCATCAGGAGGGCCATCTACCCTGCTGATGTCATGTCATTCATTCCTCTGTTGTTACTGTGGTAGGGCACATATGACAAGCGTCACCATAGTTCAGTGATATCTAACACGTTTACAGTGCTGTACATCCAGCGTCTCTTCCTATTCCAGAGCATTTTCGTCACTCCCCCCAAGAGTCTGTGTCCATTAGCAGTCCCCTCAATCATCCACCCCACCCCTGGCAGCATGCACCCTGCCTGCCCCTATGGACTTGACTGGTGAGGGAATTCAGTACATGGGCCCTTCCTCAGTGCCTGGTTTCTCTCACCAGCACCATGTTTTTGGGGTCTGGTTTGTAGCATGTGTCAGTTGCTTCTTTGTGTGGCTGAATCAATGTTCCATAGTGTGTGTACTGGTGTCCTAGGCAAAGCAGGAGGCCAGACACCACAGACCTGCATCCTCTCATGGTTCTGGAGGCCGGCAGTATGAGTCCAGGTGTCAAGGCCAGTCTCTCCTGGAAGGCTGTGAGGATGGGTCCTCCTTTAGCTCCCTTGGTTCATTTCTGTACCCCTGTGGCCTCCAACTCAGCCCCCGGTGTCTGTGTCTCCTCCTCTCCAGCCATGTTGACTAAGGCAGCTCTAACTCATATTGATGACTCTACGTCTGAATTTACACTGGTGAGTGTAAATTTAGGAAGACACTATAATCTGGTCCAGTACAGTGTGGGCCAGTTTGTCTAGTTGCCATCTGCTGGGCACTTGACTGGTTCCAGTTCTTGGTGATTAGAGTCCGACATCTGTGGATACTTGTGCAGCTGTGGACGTAGGTTTTCAGTTCTCGCAGGTGTACCGAGGAGTGGAGCTGTTGTATTGTGCGGTGATTCTAGTTTGGCCTTGGAGGCAACCTTCATGCCACTTGCTTTTGAAATCTAAATTTGTATAACTGCTTTATGTTGAAAACAAATGTGTATTTTTAGATGTCAGGTCCCCAGGAGCATGCAGACATTGCTGTCAGGCTGGGGAGGGGTGCAGACCTACCTGGGAGAAGGCCATACAGTAAGGAGAGCCAGGAAGTCCTGATGAATAGAGGAAGCTCTGGGGTTTGGCATGAGCTTTGTGGCTCACTGGACCACCTGGACATAACACTCTCCTGTGACACAGGTGCCACTCAAGAAAGAGTTCACTTCATATCTCCATGTTCTTCCCTTGCAGATGGGATGGGGTGACCTGGGGGTGTATGGAGAGCCTTCCAAAGAGACCCCAAATTTGGACCAGATGGCCTCAGAAGGGATGCTTTTCCCAAGCTTCTATTCTGCCAACCCTTTGTGCTCACCATGTAAGTCAGCACTGTCTCCCAGCACCCACCCGGGGATGGGATAAGCCAGCTGGGCCTCCCACAATTCCACACCCTCCCAACCCTGCTGGGGTGAGACATCCTCTTCTGAGGAGCCCAGGGGTGAGGGGGAGGCCTTCTTTCCTGGACTCCATCCTGGTTGTGGGCTGTGGACCTTTAAGGTCAGTGTTAGCCCTGGCAGCTGCTGCTGTCTTGTCTTCGAGAGTAAAATGACCACAGCCACCTGGGTAAGGGCTGAGAGACCTGTCTGGGGAGCACATCTCAGTTATGGGTCATAGGTACCTTCCTCGTTGCAGGGACTGACCCCTGCTGGAGGGCACCTGCCAAAGTGCTGACCTGAAGAGCAACAGGGGGACTAAGTGGTCAGCGCCTGGGGTGGGCCAGGTGGAACTGCAACTGAATATTTGTCCAGGGGCCTGGAAAGCGGCCAGACCTCAGGGATAGAGCCGAGCCCCAGGTCTACACTTGCATCTGTCAGTGGGATGTTGAGGGCCTGCTCCCCTGGGTGAGACAGAAGATAAAGAGGATTGGCAACCCTGCAGCTCTGTGTCAACCTGATACAGACATACTGTAGGAGGAACACACTACGCTTTATAGTGGGAGGCACTGTAGAGCTGGCTGAGAGTCCTGCTGGACACCTGCTCACAGTGTCTCTGTTTTCATCACTTCTGTGTAGCCAGGGCGGCTCTGCTCACAGGACGGCTGCCCATCCGCAATGGCTTCTACACCACCAACGCACATGCCAGAAACGGTAAGCCCTCCTGGACCCCCCTCCTGGGGGCAAGGCGGTGTCCTGGGCCTCGGGACTGGGAGGCCGAGGGCCAGAACATGTTGCAGAAGAAAGAAGCTGAGTCAGTGTTGCCTAGTGGCTTTAGTTCTGCACGCTGGCACTGACTTCCCAGGGCTGGAAGCTTGATTTCTGTTCTGTTGTTTTGAAGCAGAGCTCAGCACCTCCACTGAAACAGTGTTGGGCAAGCAGAGGCCTCCAGGGTGGAGCACAGGGGCTTCCTTCCTACACCAGCCCAACCAGGACAGAGCCCAGACTGGGGCACCCTGGAAACCTGCTCAGTGCCCCTTCTCACCCCTGTCCTGCCCACTGGGGACTGGACAGCATGCACAACCTGGCCACAGAGGGCTCATGTCTCTCTTCCCAGGAGCTCCTGCTCCTCTGGGGAAGCCTAGTGGTTTGAGGTCACAGCAGAGAATGTTCTAGAAACACAGTGCTGAAGCGCTTAGAAGGGTTCTCTAGCCATGGTCTTACAGAAGGTGAGATGGGAAGGGTGGGGCCCAGCCTGCAGGGAACAGCACAGTATCAAATGGCAGACCTGGCTGGGGGAACAGAGGAGTGGGAGATAGGTCTGAGGCTACAAGATATCTGGGGAGGGGCCTCTGGGGCACCATTTGCACCCATTCCCCACCTGCAATGGTGCTGACATGAAGGAGTGCCTGGGAAAACCCTGATAAGTGACCTAACCCTAACCCTGATCATAGCTCTGCCTGTTGACCCTGATGACCAGTGTGTAGACCTGTTAGAGCAGGTGTGAGGCCCTGGGATATGTAGACTCACACACAGTGTTGCTCTTCCAGCATATACACCACAGGAGATTGTGGGTGGCATCCCTGACTCAGAGCACCTCCTGCCTGAGCTCCTGCAGAAGGCTGGCTACACCAGCAAGATTGTGGGCAAGTGGTGAGTCCCGGAATGCGCCTCCAGGGCTGTTCTGCACAGCCCTGCTCAGGTTCTTCCAAATGATGAGGACCTTTTGGGTATGAAGTGGAAACTCTGGCCTCTGGGGCCATTTGGATTTCTACAGGGAGATTTAAAAGCTGTGTATGGCTACTCCTGGGACCATGCTGGAGGGAGGCTGGGCACCAGCCAGTAGCAGAGCTGCCTCAGTGTCGACTTGGTCCCCTTGTTTCTTCCCACAACACTCTTGGCCGTCTCTGCTGGGGCCACCTCCTGCCACTGTGACACTAGAGGAACCACATTATTCTGCATGTAGGTGCCATTACCGATGAGGCACCTTGCCAGCCAGCAGAGGACTCCTGTCTAAACTACACAGCAGCAGCTAGGAAGCAGAGAACACAAACACAGCAGTTTGAGTCAGTGGGTGGAGTACTAATTAAAGAGCATCTTCTGCACTGATTCCCTTCCACATGGAACATGTGTCTCCTTTACTCCCTGGGGATGTGCTGGCGCATGCACGTTTTCTCTCTCTCTCTCTCTCTCTCTCTCTCTCTCTCTCTCTCTCTCTCTCTCTCTCTCTCTCTCAGACCTCAGATGATGAGCCCCAATGACCAGAGCTGTCTGTGCCTGGCCTGGCAATTCTGCCCTGGTTCACCAGTCATTGACACAGAGTGGACAGAGTGGCATAGGGAGTGAGTCTCCACAAAGCTGGCTGAGGACCAAGACAACTGTGGGCAGGAAAGAAGTAACCAGGAAGAACAGGGCCTAGAGAGGAGGTGGAGTGGGAAGATAGGCCAGCAGTGGGGCCAGCGCAAGGACCGGCTCCAGGAGGACTGTGGCACATGGCACAGCTGCTCCTTAGTGAGGGGATGTTGTCAGCTGCATCCAGAACTGTCCTATGTCCTTTGCTCAGACCTCAGCACCAAGGATCTGACTTTCATGTGCCCTGGCAGCGGATGGAGCTCAGTCTCCTGAAAGAAGGCTGCATGAAAAATAAAAAGAAAACAAGAAAAGAGAAAAGAAGACGCTGTGATTTGCAGAAGCCACAGCAGATGAGTGGGGCTTCTGAGTGAGCAGCTGCCGCTACTGCTTAGGGACAAGCACAATGAATTGCAGCTGTGTCCAAGAGGGACCTTGACCATGTTTCTCCTGAGCAAAGGCCTTTGTGCTGCTGCACATGGACACAAGGAGGTCACCTGTGGGTGGGTCGCTTCCTGTCCAGCATGTTCAGAAAGGACAGGTATCAAGGCAGGGGACCTGAGAGCACATGACACACAGAGGACGTGGTGTGGGCTGGCATCTCAAGGAAGTAACACCACTGTGTGATGCAGGTGCAGTCTCCTGGGAGGGAAAGAGGATGGAGCATGTGAAGGCCAGAGAACTGGCTCCAGAGGTGTGAGCCAGGCAGACAGCACCACAGAGCCAGCCACACCTGTGCCAGTCTCCTCTGCTACTAGTGGAGAAACTGAGGCCCAAACAGATGTGCTGCCCGAAGCCCAGATCGGTTGTTGACCAGCCCTGTTGGCCTCCCCAGCCTCCATCCCAGTCTTCCCCGCTGCACCGTGACCCATCGCACTGAATGATCAAGTGAGCACAATTCAGGTGGTGGCCTCAAATCTGCACAACCTGGCGGAGGCCGAGAGGCCAGGGTGAGCCTCCCTGCCTCCTCCAACAGGCCTGGGAAAAGAACTCTCCCATCCCAGAATGCTGCTTTCAAAGCTGTGGATACAAAAGGCTTTCCACACACATGTGTGCGTGACACAAATGGCTGCATTCCAGGCTGGGTCTGCCTGGCACCAGTGGCTATGACTTGTAGCCCACCTGGGAAACCTCCTCTCTAATACATGCTCTGGAGAGCAGGTGGGAGCTGGAGTCCCTCCAAGAAGGACGGGCCTCTCAAGGATACCTCAAGGCACTGTCCCACTGCTTCCAGGAGCTGCAGAGGGGGTGTCGGCACCTCAGCAGCCTTCCTGTTGGTGGAGGGAGACCTGAGATTAGGTGCTCTGAAGAGCAGAAGGTAGGGTGGGAATGCGTGGGGAGGTGTCTGGTAGGGGCAAAGGTGTGGGACATGGGGTGGGTCTTGCAGGGGATCCCTCAGCTTCACCTGACGACTGCCCCATGTGGTGGCAACTCTTGCTCACAGTAGTCAATCATCCATCTCTAAACAGCTTTCATGCTGTCATGAGGGTGGGCTCCTAACACATCCTCTATATCCACTCCAACTTCAGCTTATGCCCAGGGCTCCTGGACATGAGCACAGGCCTTCAGTCACTGCATGGCCTGCTCACCTGGCCACCTTTTAATGATTTTCCTTCATTGAGAGAAGAGACTCCGTGACTTCAGTGTTAAGAGACGTGGCAGTAACCTGCCTGACAGAAACTCGGAGGAGCAAAGCTGGCCCTGGAGCATTTCTGAGAATGAAGAAGGGCAAGAGTAAGCAGTCAGGGCCCGGAACAGGGCTAGGACGACATTCACGTCTAGAAAGTTTCCAGGTGGTTGTGAGAGTTCTCACCATGCACCATTAAGGCATCTCCCGGCATCCTACAGGACACTCGTCGCTCCTCTGAGCCTCTCTGTGCCAGATGCCCCGCCATGCCCAGGCATTGTCAGCCATACTGGATGCCCTCAGCTGTGCCTGGACACCCTCAGTCATGCTCATACACCCACAGTGGGATGCCCTTAGCCATGCCAGACACCCCAAGTGGTGCCAGGATACTTCCACTGTGCTGGGACACCTCAGCCATGCTGGGACACCTCAGCTATACTGGGACATCCTCAGCTGTGCTGGACACCTTCAACTGCACCAAACATTCTCAGCCATGCCTAGACTCCCTCAAGTGCCAGATGCCCTCAACTGTACCAGCACCCTGCTTATGCCTGGCACTCTGGCTGTAGTGTAGCTGGCACTTTGCGGGGAGAGCACAGGGTCCCAGTGCTCCCTTCTGGGGTGAGGCCTTGGTCCTCTGCATCTTGGTGTTCCCAGGGCTAAGCACACACTCACAATGGATGCTGGAGGGACATTTGTTTTATTAAACATTTATTATGTTTTTTATTAAATATTTATTATGGATTTGCTGCTCAAAACTTGGAGTACCCTGGGAGGGTGGGGTCCCTGAAGTGTCTTGGTTCCTGTTTCTAGGCATCTGGGTCACAGGCCCCAGTTCCACCCCCTGAAGCATGGATTTGATGAGTGGTTTGGATCCCCCAACTGCCACTTTGGACCTTATGACAACAGGGCGAAGCCCAACATCCCTGTGTACAGGGACTGGGAGATGGTCGGCAGGTAACAGAGTCCCCTCCCACTCTTCCTGCCCTGCCTTTGTGCTGCCCAGGGGCAGCACAGATGATTTCTGAGTGCTGGCATCCTGTGTGCCTACTGCTTCCTGGGAAGTTCTGTCAGAGCCTCGTGAGACTCAGGCCAGGGGCCATTTTTGACCTGTCTAGGGTCACAGATTCCTTTGGGATCTTGAGTCAGAGGCCTTCCCCAGGGTGCACTCCACAGCTTGCACTCGATTTTGGAATCCAGGGCCCTGTTAATGGGGTGCTATCTGCCTGTTCCAAGTTGGCCTGTCAGCTGAAGCCTAGACACTCAGCTCAGCAGAGGAGATGGGATCAAACCCTTGTTTGAATGTCACATGGGAAATGACCACTGTCAGAATAGAAGGGGAGTTGCCCAGAGAGGAGCCCCTCTGGGGTCCAGGCCTGGATGTGGGGCACGTCTGAGGGCAGCCCCTGCCCAGGGTCCTTGCCTTTCTTAAAGTTTGTCTGCTTATCTTTTCTGTTAGAAGGTCTTACCAATGGACCAAAAGGCTGAGGCAACCTATTGCCTGTTAAAGAGGCGGCTTTATTGAGACAGAATTCTCGTGCCAAGCGGGTCAGTCATCTACGGGGCCAGTCCACTGGCTCTAGATGCATCCAGAGTGCACAGCCATAACCATCTCTCAAACAGAAGCCCTGGCCCTTAGCTGTACCTCCTCACCCCCGCCCTCAGTACCACAAGTCCACCTTGACTTTGCAGCTCTGTCTCTCTGGCCTGTGTTCCTCTTCACATGGTGGGGCCCTCAGGGCCCTCGTCATCTTGCCCAGGAGCAGGGCAAGCTTCCAGTTCGATTTGTTTCTTAAGTGGAACATTCTCACCCTCTTCTGTTTATTTACTTTTGCCAGTGCTGTGGTTTGACCTCGGTGTCTCTACCACTTGAGCCACAACCCCAGCCTCTTTTTTTTTTTTTTAGTTATTTTTTAGACAGGGTGTTACAATTTTTGCCCAGGCTAGCCTATGATGACAATTCTCCTACCTATACCTCCTGCATAGCTGGGATTGCAGGCATGCACACCACGCCTGGCTTGTTATTTAAGATAGGGTCTTGCTAACTCTTGTTTTTTGCCCAGGCTTACCTTGGACCAGGATCTTTCATCTCCACCTCCCAAGTAGCTGGGCTTACAAAGTGAGCCACCATGCTTGGCTCTTATCTCTCTTTTAAATGCTGCTCACCACTTTGCTGGTGGAATTGGGGAAAGAGCTTTCCTGGCTAAAGGCTGAGTTCCATCTTGTCTGTGTTTCAGATTTTATGAAGAATTCCCAATTAATCTGAAGACCGGGGAAGCCAACCTCACCCAGATCTACTTACAGGTAAGGAGCTGAGCTGGCTGTGGCTGTCTGGGAGGATGCAAGAAGTCATCCTGCAAAGCAGAGGAGACATGAGGCCTTCCCCTAGGAAGCCCTGGATTTCATCAAGAGACAGCAGATGAAGCAACACCCCTTCTTCCTCTACTGGGCCATTGATGCCACGCATGCACCTGTCTATGCATCCAGACCTTTCTTGGGCACGAGCCAGCGAGGGCGGTGAGTCCTCGTCAGAGAAACTTGGCCCACACCTGGGTTTCAGCCTGGCCGGGGCCCACGGCGAGGATCGGCCCTCAGCATCATTACTGAAAAGTCCAGCGCATCCACGCCTCTTTGAAACAACCCCCCAGCTGCGTCAGCCCGGGACTGGTGGGAGGAAGGCTGCAGTGGTGGTGGCTTTGTCCAGCAACCCACGTGAATTTGAACATCCCTCCTTTGCTGTGAAGCAGCCTGCTCTGCTGTGCATCTCTGGAGTTAGGATTCATGTGCTTTTTGTGTCACACTGATGCCCTTGGCTGCTGATAGACTCACCTTTCCCATAGGTATGGCGACGCTGTTCGGGAAGTCGATGACAGTGTCGGGAAAATACTGAGCCTTCTGCGGAACCTGGGCATCGCAGAGAACTCATTTGTCTTTTTCACATCTGATAATGGCGCTGCCCTTGTGTCAGCTCCCAAACAAGGTAAGTGCCAGTGTTGTGATTCCCCTATGGTTCCTCTCCACAGAGAAGTCTTGTGCACTTGAATTCAGAGTCCACCAGCAGCCCCTGACCTTCCCTCCCAGGACTAGCCTGGGCATCAGAAAATGCAGACCTGCAGAGGGGGAGAGGGAGTCACAGTGGAAAGGAGGTGTCCTTGCAAAGGTTGTGGCCTGGGAGAAGCAGGGCTCCAGTAGCCGGAGGCTGTGCGTGGGATGGAGCTGGGCCAGAGTGGGAAAGACAGCAACCAACCTGGGAGCTGCCCTGTGGGTATGACCTGGCCAGTCACATGAGATGACAGGGGCTTGGCTACCCATCAAATGGGGCCCCCGTCCTCAGCCCTGAACCACCTTCTCTTGAACTGCGGAGGCTCTTGCAGCCCAGTATTGAGGGGTGAGGGGAAATTATGTTTCTTGGTTTCAAGTGACAAAACACAGAACAGCCAGTTTAAGCTGAAGAAGAAACATACTGGTAACAGGACAAGCTACCCAAAGCCAGCCAGGCTGGCCTGGTGGCTCCTTTAAGTCTAGCTCCTTGACATGCTTGGTTCTCATGCCCCACATAGCTGACATTCCAAAGGAGTGGATGGGACCTCATCTCCTCCTAGCAAAGGCCAGAACCCAGCTGCTGCCCTGGCCCTTTGTTCCCACAATGGTCTCAGAGACCCTCAGGTCACCTCAGAAGAGAGGTGGAGCCTGAATGGAGGACAGGTATGTGCCCCTAGGGTGAGTGTGCCTGCAGAGGGCACTGTGGCTCTGATCCCTGCTGGACCTGGGGTCCAGGGGGCCTGATGGGTGGTGACTCTTGTCCCCAGGTGGCAGTAACGGCCCCTTCCTATGCGGGAAGCAGACCACATTTGAAGGAGGTATGCGGGAGCCTGCGATTGCATGGTGGCCGGGGCATATTGCTGCAGGCCAGGTAAGTCAGCGTGCCATACTGGGCCCGAGGATCCCGTGGGGCCCTTGAGGGGATGTTGGCACACATGGGGAGGAGGCTCCTGAGGCCCTCTCAGTGTGGCAGTCTCAGTGCTGGTGGTACCAGAACCTCTGGAGTGGCACAGGCAGGCTGGGTTTGTACAGCTCGTTTGGCTACAGAATCCCCCCGGCCCAGGTTCTGTGGACTTGCTCAGAGCACAGTGTGGTACCACTGATGCCTGCTGGGTATGACTAGGGGGTGGGACCTCTGGCAGGCACAGTGTGTGTCCTGCTGTATCCCCAGCCTCAACTTTCATATCAGTCATTGGCCCCAGGAAGGCAAGCCCTCGACTGAGAATCCACTCTGGGGGACTTGCAGTCACCCCATAAATGTAGGGCCCTGAAGTAAGTATCTGGGAACATGTGTGTCGCTCATGTGTGCTATCAGTTGGCCTCTTCCCCGCCCACCACCCCCTGATCTCCTCAGAGGCAATGTCTCCACTGGGGTCAGCGCCTCACTCTTGGATGATGGCATGGATGTCATTAGGTTCCAGGGGCTATCCCCACACACTTGAGACTGGACAGCACCACCAATCCCTACAGTTGGGAACCAGGGTCCCACACAGCCACCTCAGCTAAGCGAAGTCGGCTCCAGGGCAGTCGGTTCCTTAACTCATCCTCTGTGGCAGCCAGCGTGCCTGGGCTCCACACTCTACCTTCAAACCTAGCAGTGTTGCCTCTCACTGTCTTCTGCCCTCTCTTCTGCCTTATCCCTCTGTGCTGACACAGGACACAGGTGGTCTGGCCAGGCCAGGCTCCCATTCCAGGTCAGCCGACACACCTGCTGCCTGTGTCCCTGCTGCCATGTGACACATATAGCCGTGGGGCTTGGGGGTCATTCTGGGCCTTTCTGCCAACCCAGGAGGGCCCTCACCTTCCCCTCCCACTGCACACCCTGGAAACTAAGGCCCAAATAAAGAAAGTTACTTGTCCAGTGTCTCAGATCATGGGGCAGAGCTGGGAGAAGCCCCAGATGTCCAGCCACGGGGCCCACACTCCTGCCCATCATACCTGGAATAGTCTCCATCTGTTCCCAGCAGCAAGTTGGAGCTTGAGCTGGCATCTGCCCCAAACACCTGGTCTCTAAACCCAAACCTGGCTGGTCCTCTGCCCTCAGAACCCCTTCCCGGGACCTCCTGACACAGGACTGTCCCAAGTAACTGGGGCTCAGAAGGTTGGAAGACCACATAGTTCACTGAGCAGGCAGCCATGGACCTGCCTGTCAATTCACCAGGTCCCTCTGAGGAGCAGAAGTGGCTGTGACAGTGACCACATCGTGTGTGGGAGAAGTGGACAGCAGGGCACAAATGAGTGCTCAGACTGGTACGCCCACCTGCTTCTTCTGTGTGACAGGGACCTGGAAGCGGCTACACTGACTGTGTCCCTGAATGCCATCACTGCTGGGCCTCGTGTGGCCCCCGGGCAGCCCTGGGTCTGCGGTCATTCGGTGACCCTGGCCTCCTGAAGGATTGGGAGAGACACAAGGTTTTCCTGGTCATGGTCACTTTCGGGGGCCACATCAGGCTGCAGTAGTTCTGCTCCCCTGTGAGGAATCATGGCGAATCACAGGCCATGGTCTGCGTGCATTCCTGACCTTACACTGGCTGAGTCCAGACGTACCTGGCGCAGGCAGGAAGGAGGCCCCAGCTCTCCCTGCCTCTGTCCAGTGGGCTTTGTCCAGCAGCTGTCCATGGAAGGCACCAGCTGAGAGCACAGGCCTCAATATTTGCAGTCCACCTCCCTCCAGAACCTTGACTGCCTCTGCTCCACCACTTCCTATGGGACACACATTGAGATTGAATTAGGCAGGGGTCAGGCCTGTGCACTGTGATAACTAAGGATTTTATTAAACACCCTGATGTTTGTCCACCCAGCTTGAGACACCCAGCTTCCCCGTGGTTGCTCCTGGCAGGGTGTTGTTACTGCTACCTTTTATTCAGTTAAGTCTTGAAGGTGCCACAGCAGCTTCAGTGGCCTCTTGCTGTGGGGCCACAAACATGAGCTGCTTCTCTGCAGCATCACGTGTGTGTCTTCTCTGTGAGTAGCTGCTCAAACCACAGAGGCTCATATCTACTTCCTTCTCATCACCCCAGCCACGCAGCGAGGGCCTCGCCTTTTATTTTTTCCTGGTGGTAAAGGTATCTGGACCCTTCCTTCCTCCCTCCCTCCCTCCCTTCTTTCATCCCTCCTCCTTTCTTTCTTTCCCTTAAAAAAAAAATTGGGTCAGGTGACAGTGCTCACGCCATAATCCTAGCTACTCAGGAGGCAGAAATCAGGAGGATTGCAGTATGACGCCAGCCCAGGCAAATAGTTTGGGAGAGACCCTATCTTGAAAATACCCAACACAAAAATGGCTGGTGAAGTGGTTCAAATGGTAGAGTGCCTGCCCAGCAAACATGAAGCCCTGAGTTCAAACCCCAGTACTGCCAAAAAAAGAAAAAAAAAAAAATAATTGGGAGGCAGGGAAGTACCTTGAAGGCAGCAATGACTATCGGGAGGCTCCTTCCTCTCTGTGAAGGCTTCAAAGGTTTTCTGAACCAAACATGGCCCCTAATGTTTCCCCTGTGTTCTAAGGGGATGATGGGAATGGATGCAAAGGTGGGAGTGCCCTGTCCCCAAGAAGCCTCCCGTAGAGCAACGTCACGCAGAGGGGTCCGGTATTCCAAGTAAGAGCTGCACCTCAGCTGGCTCAGTGAGCAAGGGCTAGGTGAGGAGCCATGAGGAGAGTGCTGTCTAACCTGGATGTGGCTGAGGGCCCCACAGACGAGGCGTCCTGGCGATGACCTCACCTCCACCCTGTGCCACTGACTTACCTGAGCCCTAGCATGACCAGCACACAGTGAACCACTCAAGATGGGGGAGTCAATGAGGGACCCAGTGGCCCCAAGGAGACAGAGCCACAGAGGTCCTCTGGTCATTCCTTGATCACTGTGGCCTCTCATGTGATAGACATGAGCAGAGAGCAGCCAGCATACTGCTCATAGGCCTGGTCTGTGTATAGATGGCCATCAGAGTGCAGCTGGTACCCTGCCTCTCCTGAAACACTAAGCATCAGGAGGCTGTGTCCAGCCACCTCCTCAGCAGTGCACCATTCTGTTTGGTTCCACGCAGCCTAATTGCCTCCCTGTCCTCCTTGCTGCTCCTGGGCATTTCCTGACCTGCCTCCCTCCCCTGATCACAAAGCTCACAGTGGCTTTAGGGTGGCAAGTGTTAAAATGAAGAGTGTGGGCCATCTTTCTGGGAACAGCTGTGCTTCAAGAGGTGGGAGCCCTGGTGTCCTTCTGGGAAGAACTGGGCCATGCCCCTTCTCCAGGTTAAGTCTGGTTACAGCAGCAGATCTACATCAGGAGGGGCCATGGGGAGAGAATGTGGCCTGGCTGTGGGGTCAGATGTGCGGTGTGAGTCCAGTTTGCCACCCACGAGCTCTGTGACTCCACACAACCCTGGCCCTGGCCCTGGCCCCTGTGGCAGTTCAAGTACATCTGTATATCTGTAGACCTGACAGTGCAGCAAGTATTCACCCCAGGGACCTGGCCCCTGGCTGCCATCTGGTCAGGGCACCTTCTCAAGTAAGTCTCTGCCACATCTATTTCAGGTGAGCCACCAGCTGGGCAGCATCATGGACCTCTTCACCACCAGCCTGTCCCTTGCAGGCCTGAAACCACCCAGTGACAGAGTCATTGATGGCCTCGACCTCCTCCCCACTCTCCTGCAGGGCCAGCTGACCGACAGGTAGGTGCCAGAAGGACACAGCTCTGCCTTAGCCGCTACCTCAGCTCCACGTGGCCAGGCACAGAACTGCTGACAGGGTTTGGCCTCCTCACTCACTGGCCGGTCAGTGTGGAGCAGGAGGAGATGAGAGGGAAATGGGGAGGTTGAGGTGAAGGGCCCTGGGGCCCAAACGTGGGTCCAGGTCATCCTTGGGGCATCAGGGCACAGGAAGGCCTGACTCTTGGGAAAGCATCATGAAAGCTGGGTGGAGGGTCTTTGTCCTTATCTGTAGGCAGACACTGTCACCATCTCTTTCACCACCCTCTTTCTCACCTACTCTGCAGGCCTTGCAATCCCCATGGCTCCTCTGGTCTGCTTCAGGCTGTGGTCAGGAAGGGAGAGGATCCCCTGCCATCTTCTACCTGAGCCTGGCCCCCCTGGCCCCACCCTTCCCTCTCCCTCCTGCAAGGATCTGTGCCAAAGTCTTTTTTTTTTTTTTTTTTTTTTTTTGGTGGGACTGGGGTTTGAACTCACGGCTTCATACTTGCATACTGGCAAAGCAGACACTCTACCACTTGAGCCACAACTTCTGTCCTTTTTGCTTTGGTTATTTGGAGACGGTATCTCACAAACTATTTTCTCAGGCTTTGCCTTGAACCTTGATCTCCCAATCTCAGCCTCCTGCAAAGTCCATTTCTTTCCTGCCAGAGTTTCCTGGGCAGCTCTGAGGAGATGTGAATTTGAAAAGGCTCAATGCTGTGGCGAGGTGGAGGTGACTACACAGTGCTCACTATGGAGCCTCACGTTTGGGGAGATTAGGAAAGGGGGTCTGCTCTTTTTTTTTTTTTCAAATTGCTTATTTTTTCTCTCTTAACAATTGGCCCAAGAAGAACGTTTACTGCCAAGGCGAAAAGGCTCTGCACCCCCACACCTGCAGCTTCAGGCTTCTCCCAGCCCCATCTGATCTCTGACACATTTGCCAGCTCAGTCCCCAACTGTCTGGCCTCCAGGGCCTGGCTTTGCCTCGTCAAGAGTACAGAAAAAGCAGGGCATGATCCTGTGGGCTTTTCCTCCTCCTTTTTTTTTTTTTTTTTTTGTGGGGGGCACCTGGGGATAGAACCCAGGGCCTCATACACACCAGGCAATCACTCTACCACTGAGCCACACCCTCCAGCCCACTTTTTTTGCAGTCTGACCCCAGCATGATCATCTCCATAATGTAGCGACTGAAGCCTGGCTTGTAGGCACAGGAGTCCCTACTCCCCAGCCAAGAGCCCTGTGCTTGGGCTCCATCGTGACCCTCCTCCCACCCGACAGGCCGATATTTTATTACCGTGGTAACACACTGATGGCAGTCACTCTTGGCCAGTACAAGGCCCACTTCTGGACTTGGACCAACTCCTGGAGGGAGTTCAAACAGGTACGGGGCCTCAGGGTGTGGGCCCTGGGTGGTCAGCAGAGGGCAAGACAGCGGGATGCCCCAGAGCCCACTGCCTTCCTCTCTCGTGTGGCACCTGCAGGTCCCCACCACGTTCAGCATGGACACATCATGCTCAGACAGGGCAGGCACACATCTAGGACTGGGGGCTGGGGACACCTGTCTGCCCTACATGTCTGATGCTAGGGTCATGGGAGTGGTGTACTACAGTGACAGACCCTCAAGGGCCAGCATGCCCTCCTGGGACCTTCTGCCCCTCACAGGAGGCACAGGGCCTTCGCTGGCTTTACCGTCCAAACCCTTCCGAAGCCCCTTTCTCTTAGCCCTTCCCAGACTGGCCAGGCCCAGGTGCTGGTGGGTTAGTCAGTGTCTGCATCTTGGTGCCACCCAGGGTTTAAGGCAAAGTGCCACACTCACAGGCTGCAGGTTCCTTCTGCCTCTCCTTCCTCTGCCAGCACAAGCCTTCACCCCTTCAGGCCGCCAGACTTGCACACATGTGAAAGACCTTTCCAACTTTCCTTAACTGGGAAGAAATCAATTTAAGTTACTGAGAAATCTAAGTTCTAGAGCATTGTGAATCAATTGGGATGCAAATCGCAAACTCTGTTGCTCAGGAGTCAGGCTGGGCAGGATGCCGAGCAGGGCACAGCACAGGCAGGTGGACACAGGGCTGCCACTCAAGGGCACCAGTACCCAGGACACAACTGCCTTGTGTAGACACACATGGCCTGAGAGGGCCCAAAGCCCTTGCAGGCTGCTCAGCCCCACACCCTACCCCACACAGCTCACTCCACCTCCTGCACAGCCAGGCGCCTGCTCTTTCCTTAGGTCTCAGCTCAGCCTCACTGCCTCCAGGCCCATCCTGACCATTGGCCTATGCTCCCCCAGGCTGTTGAGGCAGCTAGTGTCCCAGGGTGCCCATTCTGCTGGTCTGCCTTCTTTAGATGCTCTGGGCTGCCCCAGGGCCAAGTGACTGACAAGTGACCTAGAAGGCCTTGAGGTATGGTAGGAAGGCGGATCCCCTCTGCCTTTCATACCCAACTCTGTGCTCACCCCAGAGCCCCTTTAGGATCCTCATGGTGGGTCCTCCAGAGTCTAGGTGGTTCAGAAGCCAGAAGAAAGGAAGCCAGGAAGGCCCTCTCGGGCCTGAATAGTCTTTACGGGGCTCCTACCCTGCAACGTGAGAATAAGGTGGCTGGTCTGTCTTGGGGCAGGGTCTAGGCTTGCATGCCAAGGATGGTGCTCTTACCCAGGGAGGCAGAGAGTGCTGCAGCTGAGCCCACACCCACAGGGCCTGGCAGAGGCTTGTAAGCTGGTCCTGACCTTAACACTTTGGCACTTGTGGCCAGAGGCACGAGGAGAAGCCCACCCAGTGTCACATGGAGCCTTGCTCTGCTGCTGCAGTCTAGGCTGGGACCACACCCTGCACCTGGCTGCCAGAGTCATGTTTTGCTTCTTTCCACTTCGAGTTTCCTGTGAAAGAGCGTGTGTCAGCCTTGGTTCTCGTGGCATCTGTTGACTCTGAATGTGAAGTACATACAGTTCACATCTGGAATGTGTGTGGCCCTTGCTGCTAGTGGGGTCCCTCCACAGGTGGGAGTGACACCCACTGCACAGTGTCCAGGGTCAGGGCCTCGTCCCAGGTGGCTCAGGGTCAGAGGTTGTAAGGTGGTTCTTGCTGGAGTCCATTCTGGAGAGGATCATCCTGGAGCCAAAGTCAGCACACCAGTTGCCTGTTCTTACCCAGCTGTCTCAGCCTAGCAGTTCCTATCCTCTGTCCCCCACCTAATGGTCCCCAGCTGCACAGAGCTGGGGCCAGGGCATCACCAAGTGTGCTGTTCCACAGGGAGGAAGAGGCACAGTGTGCAGCCAGCTGGTGCTGCTGCTAGTGCCCTGGCACCAGGCGCTCCTGAGACAGCAGTGGTGAGAGGAACCCTGGGCCAATTACCCAAATCTTAATTAAGTAGCTTATTTGATTTGCGTCCAAATCGTGCTTTGGGTCCTTCCCACTAACTGGTTGGCATTTTCACAGTAATGTGCAGTATAGTCCACATTTGTCCGGAAAGCCAGAAGGCCACCACCCTGGAACCCACTTGGAATCCTCTGTGGCCCCTGTCCTTCCAGCCATGGACTCAAATCTGCTGCTCAGTGCAGACAAGTGGAATTTCATATGTTTTTCATTTCCTTGCCCAGTTGCAAAACAGAGTATCACCTGCTGCACCAAACAGCCGACCTTCACAGGCCCACAGCATGCACTAGAGACATTTCCCAACCAGCCACCAGCTCCAGGGTCAACAGACCCTACCGAGGTGTGCCCTGCTGGCAGATTTCTGGTAGCAAGCTATCTCCAGGGTGCCTGGGTTATGGTACCCAGGGTGAGTTCTGCCTCACAGTTCCCTCTGGAGCTGTTGCAGGGCTCAGGAAGGGGGTGCTGCTACATTCCTAAATCAGGGAGTCCTAAGGGGCAGCCAGAGAGCCGTGGGGACCCAGACAAAGCACAGTCACACACATAGCCCATGGTGAGGGCCTCAGAGGCTGCACCTGGGCAAAACAGCCAGAGACATCTGGGAAGGGTGCTGAGGGGGCTGGCGCTGTGCTGCCTGGCTGCAGCCTGGTCTAAAAGAAGCATTAGCTTGTTACCTGTTTTCTCAGTCTTCTCTGTATTTTCCCAACTATACTGATCATGTTTACTTTGAAGTCCTCAGCCTTCTCCAGAGCGTGTTAGGTGTGGTTATTCTAAGGTTCTTGCCCTCAACTTCAGTGTCTGCCCTTCCTCCCACCCCACACCTGTCTCCTTGTCTGTCCTCTTGGCTTTCCTGCATGGCTTTCCAGCACAGTCCTTCCTCCTCACCTGCTCAGTGATTCTCTTCATCCTGCCTTTCATCTCCTACCAGAGAGGCCTCCTCTCCTCCCAGGGGGCACAGTAAGGGACTGAAAGGAGCTTTCCTCTGTGACCTGACATCAGTGGCAGAATGCAAGACTGACTAGACTTATTTTTTGTTTTTTGTTGTTTGTGTGTGTGGATGTGGATGGGGGGAGTTACTGGGGATCAAACTCAGAGCCTCATGCTTATTAGGCAAGTGCTGTGCCACTTGACCTCCCAGTCCTGGCTAGACTGTTCTGATTCCTCCTGCAACAAAGGGGAACAGAACACCTCAGGGAAGCACAGGGAAAAAGCTGCCACCCAGACTTTACCCTCAAGGGATGGCCACAGTTTCCCCACCCCCCTCTATTCCTCAGTGAAAATTAAGTGGCTGCTACATGAGGAGGACACTAGAGGAATAGGACAGCAGGGCGTACAGCATGGCTGCATGGCCAAAGGCTGTGGGCACCAGCACTCACTGTCTTTCCCTGCCTCTCTGTAGGGCATCGATTTCTGCCCAGGGCAGAACGTCTCAGGAGTCACAACTCATACCCAGGAAGAGCACACAGAGCTGCCCCTGATCTTCCACCTGGGGCGAGACCCAGGGGAGAGGTTCCCAATCAGGTGAGGTTGGGCTGGGGCCACCAGGCTGAGCAAGTACTGGCCAGACCCAGCCAGAGGCGTGTCACATCCAGGGCTCTGTCCTACAAGAAATTACTCTTCTAGTGACAGAGGTGATGAGTGGCCCAAGAGAACATTTGGAACATGCATGGACCCCAGAGCCCCCACCTGCTTTCCGTTCATCCCCACCTGGGTTTGGTGGCTACCTGTCTCTCTGGGAGTGGCCTCCCTCCCTGGTTGTCTCTCTTCTTCTGCCCCTTTGGGGTCCAGTCCACCAGCCCCCCAGTGATGTGTCTCCTGCTCTGAGTTGTCTTTGGGGATGGCCCAGAGAGAGAAAGGGTCCAGGTGGTCCATTGGACTGACCAACCTGGGGTCACAGGAGTGATGGGTGGAGGGCAGTGTGGGAAGGGAGGACCTCAGAGCCAGGTCTGGGGAGGGAAGTAAGGCCATGCCTTAGGACAGGAGCAGCCTGGTGGCCTCCTGTGGGCAGAGCCCTTGAGCTCTGGAGCTGCTGCTCCTGTCCTGGCTGCACCTAGTTTCCCTGTAAGTGACTGAGCCTGGCCAACTGAGTGGCCACTCAGAGCTCCTGGCCCAGCTTCGAGGACACCCCTTCCCACTTCCTCTCACCCAGAGCCAGGCTGAAGGGTCATAGCCTCCAGTACAGAGACCAACATGGCACTTCCACCAAACCTAAACCCATGCTGGCAACTCCTTAGGAGTGATACAGAGGCCACTGCACAGCTGTCACTCACTGGGCTGGGCCACAGAAGATCACCCCAGCTCCCCTGCATAGTGCCAGCTCCTACACCACCTCTGGGTCCTGTAGGACCTGTTCCTGCCTCACTTGAGTTGGGCCTAGGAGACAGAGGCCTCTGGGGAGAGGTGCAGGACAAGGCTGTTGGAGCTACCTGGCCTCCTGCTCAGAACAAGCCGTGATTTGAACAGGCTGATGAGAGATGGGCACTGAGGCCACTGGAGAAGCCCACTGAGGCTCCTGCACCCTCCAAGGATGGCATGAAGCTTGCCTGAACCCAGCTCCTCCGTCCCCCAAACGTGGTGAGGTCATGAGACACCTGCCTCTCCACTGGAGCTTCAGCCATCTGAGGCCCAGAATGGTGACTGTGGGAAGGAAGTGCAGACAGATGGTGTCAGGGACAGGATCTCCAACCCACATCCACCAGCACCTCACAATGTGACCTCATGGAAATGGAAACAGAGACTTTATGGAAGTAGTTAGGGTCAAGGTCATCTTGGATGCAGGGCCATGTCCAGAGAGAAGCCAGGCACTAAGGGGAGAAGGTCATGTGAGAATGGGGTGAGGTCAGCCATGCAGCCACACCCGGAGGAGCCAATGAGAGGAAGGAGCCTTTTGGGGCCTCCGGAGGAAGCACAGCCCTGAAACACCTTGATTCCAGATCTCTGGCTCCAGAACTGGGAGCGGACACGTCTGTTGTGTTGAGCTCTCCATCACCCGCAGAATAGTCACAGGCAGGAGCTGCAGCTCCTCAAGGCTCCTGAGACCCACTCAAGGGTCATCACAAGCCAAAGTCTGGAGCTATGGGCTGGTGGCGTTAGAGCTGGAGATCAAAACAGGGTCCACCAGGTCTGGTAGTACATGCCTGTAATCCAATTCAAGTCTAGCCAGGGCTACATAGCAAGCCCCTGCCTCAAAAACAAATGGTGGGTTGGCTGGAAGGAAACAGCCTGTGAGACCCCCAGATGTCCTGCAAAACCACCTCCACAGTGAGCTGACTGCTGGAGGGTTAGAGTGAGCCACCCCCAGGTGCACCAGCACCGTTGAGACCGTATGTTCTCCCACCTGTATCCAGCTTCACCTAGTTTGGGTGCCCAGGAGAGTCATCTCAAGACCTTCCCCACACCTGCTCATTTCCACCAGAGAGCCCTCCAGTCGGATCCGGAGAGAGACACTCTCTTCCACCCCCGCAGCCACTGCTGGGCCCTGCCCTAAAGATGCCTCTTCCTCAGGGCGGGTCATAGGAGAGCAGGAGGTGAATCCTTCACGAGCCTCCGCCATAAAGGGTGGATGCCTGTGATGGCCTCACCACCTGCTGCTTCTCAGGCACGCTGAGGCTTGATATGGAGGCTTTCTGCAAAGTGATGGTAATCGGCCACAGAATCTGCCAAGACACAAACACACCTGAGACCTGCCTTTGGATTAAAAACAGACCATGAGACCAGGTGGCCAGCAGCTGTGCAGAGACTGGTCTGGGGGCCATGTGTGACGCACAGGCCAGCAACCACAAACACGGTTGGGATGATGCTGTGCAGGGATGCCCAGCCTCTGAAGCCCAGACCTGCTATAACCCGTCCTGTGGTCCCCTGCACCATGCCTGAGAAACTCCACTGTGGAGAAGGAAAGCTCTGGTGCCAAAGCCACCTTAGTCTGGTGAGGCATCGGCCTGGCCATAACTGGAGTGCAGGGCATGTGAGCTTCATTTCCAGCTGGCTACTGGGTTTGGACTGGCCTGGCCATGGGGCGGGGCTGTCCCCAGACCCAGTGGTTAGAAGCAACTGCAGCTGTCCTCAAAGGGCCTCCAGGCCCTTCTTCATGGTTGGGATGACTGAGACACACACAGAGGATGTAAGGAGCAGATGGAAATGCACAGCCTGCATTGGCAGGCTGGGTGGCCAATGGCGTACTGGGCACGGCCCCTGAAAGCCCATCCCTAGACCCCAGGAGGCCTGAGTATTTCTTCCCTGCAGTGCAGGTCTCTCTGCCTGATGTGTGTCCAAGCCTGTGCTGGCAAAATGCCCAGGAGGTGACCACAGCCTGAACCAGTGCCCTTTGCAGTCCAACTGTGTGCCTTGTCACCCCACTGCAGGGCAGCAGCAGTACTGTGTTGCACTGCTGAGCACGCACTGTGCTGCAGAGAGTGCAGTTTGCTTCCTGCTCAGCTGCACTGTCCTGGGGTCCCACAGACAGCTGCAGCATGCCTGCTGGAAGGGAGACCCAGTTTAACCTTCCGGGTGCCGCCAGCTGCCCTCCCGAGTGGCAGCCCCAGGCTCCTCCTGTCCGTGCTAGGCAGGGGCAGGCTCGTCTCTGTGGGATGTGGCTGGGCCAGGGTTTCCATTTATATCTCTCAGAGGACATGTGATGTCCAGCATCTTGCTGTGTGTGTTGGTGGCTATGGCATGATTTAAAGTGGCCAGAAGACTCAGTTCCAAAGATGTCCCTACAGCATGGTGACACTGGCACCATTCTGCTGATATCATGGTGCATTGTGGAGCCTTTTTTAAACATGTTTTCTTAGATGACAGAAATCAAATTGTGAAAATGCCCAGACTGGAATATAAGGCCATAGATGCTGTTTCTCCACCATTTTTCAACTTTTTTTTTTTTTTAAATAATGGATGACTCACTTTTGTAATGAAAAAGTATGTCGGCCAGGCCTGGTGGCTCACACCTATAATCCTAGCTACCAGGAGGCAGAGCTCATGGTCCAGACTCGCCTGGGCAAAAACTTGAGACACTGTTCAAAAGACAGCTAAAGCAAAAAGGCTGGGGGATATGGCTCAGGTGATAGAGCGCCTGCCTGGCAAGCATAAAGCTCTGAGTTAAAACTCTGGTACCACCAAAAAAAAAAAAAAGGTTTTGTATTTTGCTTTGTTTTGTTTTTTATGGTACTGAGGTTTTAACTTACAGCTTCATGCTTATGAAGCAGGTGCTCTAGCATTTGAGCTACAACCCTTGTATGTTCTATTTAAGCAGTACTGAGTGCTGTGGGGTCCCCATAAGGAGGTCTCAGTCCTTAGGACCCAGCCAGGACTCTGGTTACCATCATTTTCCCCTGCAACCATGCTGAACTAAGCAAGGTTCTCTGCTCACAGATTTCCTGCCAGGGCTTAGGAACCTGGAGCCTGGTCTTCCCTGTCCCTAAGTCTGGGGCCAGAGAGGGACTCACAATGCAGACTGTCTAGGGAGGCCTCGTCCAGCAGACAGAACCTCATAGTTCCTGTGCAGGCAGCTGTCCTCAGGCTGCCCCCATCCCATGACCGGTGTAGAGCCTCAGGCTTTCCAGGCCTGGCTCCTTCCTGTCCCTCCCCATTCTAGAATGTCTGGGCCTCCTGCATTGCCTGCTGGGAGCCAGGAGCTCACTGGTCCCAGACATAGCAGCCTCATGATCAGAGCCTCCTTGTCTCTAGCTTTGTCAGTGCAGAGTACCAAGATGTCCTCAGCAGGACCACCTGGATTGTCCAGCAGCACCGGAAGGCCTTGGTCCCTGGACAGCCTCAGCTCAATGTGTGTAACCAGGCCGTCATGGTAGGTGTCTGTGTGTGCTAGGCTTGTCATTATGCCTGGGATACCACTGCCCATGCTAGATGCCGGCTCTGTTGTTTCAAGGACACCTCAGCTCCCTGGAAGCCCACTTGTGTGGAGTTGGCCTGGCCAGGGTCTATGGCCACTGAGGAGAGAGAGTGGTGGTTCTGGGTGATGTAGGTGGGAGACGAGGAGGTGCAGTGGGAGGACCTCACCCAGGACTGCATTGGAACATCAGGAGTACATCCTAGCCACGAGGACAATTAGGGGCCTTGTCCAGACCAGGGGAGGCAGCTGCCTTACTTAGGGGTCATTCATGACTAGGCTGGGCAGACTGCTTGTCTAAGGAGACCTGATTAGCAGGGGCCCAAGAGGGTGGCCTCATCACTGCCCTGTGACTGGTGCCTCCTGTCACCATGGGAAGACTCTCAGGACCCTTCCTTCAAAGGACACTGTGCTGCTGGTGGTCTGGCCTCTTACTGACCAGGGCAGAGCAGGGAGGTCCCTTTCTCAGGACCCTTTAGGTTTCTGAAGCCCCAGGAGCCTGAGTGCCTACCAGAGATCCCTCAAACCTGCAGTTGCTCTGCAGTACAGGCTTATCTCCAGGGAGTGGCCAATGTCTGGCCACAGATGTAGGTGACCAGTCAGCTTCAGGACTGGCAGTGGGCAAGGGAGGTGTGTACACATGACTGGTCTTGGCTGCCATCTCCTGGATGCTGGGGGAACTGTCACAGCTTACAGGCCACTCGTTGGTGCTGGATCAACTGGACCATCCAATCTCTACAGTGACTGCCCTCCAAGAGCTGAGAGGGTCACTGTTCCCCGCTCCCTGTCCTTCAGCTCTGCTCCGAGGCCCACCTGATGTGAGGGGCTGTGGCATCTCCAGATCTCTGTTATGAGGCCTTTACGGCACAAGAGGGCCCTGCCCACTGCCATCAGACACATGGCCACACCCCGCCCCAAATCCTGACTCACCCTGCAGCTTCTGTCCGTTAAGGACTGGGACAGCCTTCTCCACTCCTCCTGCCCAGGTTGTTGACTCCCACACCGCATGCAGGGCCCCCATGACCACAGCAGCAGAGATGCTGATGACAGGTGCCCCTGAAACCAACCAGGAGCAATGTCAGTATGACACTCGACACTGGGTGTGACTCAGGAAAACTCAGACCTTGGGGCCTGGGCGGGAGCGTGGCAAACCAGGCTGCCCTCAGTTTCCCCGAGGAGGCTCCCCTCCTGGTTCCAGGAAAGCCTGCTCACACCCAGCCGGTCTGCCGTAGAGTCTATGCCCCAGCTCCCGTAGAGGCTCCTAGAACACGGGGCTGTGTGAGCCACCCTTACCAGCTCTCTGGGGAGGACACCTTTCTTCCCTGACACCTTGATGTGTGGTGTCCTCTGCTGGCTTCTGACACTTGAGAGGTGTTCCTCCACCCAGTGGCTGCCCTCCGCCTCGCTGGCCCCCGTTCTGGCAATCCTCACTTTCCTTGTCATGCACCAATTTTGGCCCCATCCCGCCCCAGCCACTCTCCTGCAGAGCAAGGCTGTGTGGGAAAGGCACCCAGTTCCTGTGATTCCTGGCTAGATATGAGCTTCTACCTGGAGCATGGAGACAGACCTGTCTCCACACTGGCCAAGCGGGTGGGGTGGAGTGGGGTGGGGGTGGGGGGTCCCAACCTGAGCAAGACCAGTGTCGGAACCTACTCCTGTTGCCAAAACCAGAGGTGCCCGTAATAACGGCATGTTCTTTTCTCAACTTTCCTTTCCTAGAACTGGGCGCCCCCAGGCTGTGAAAAGTTAGGGAAGTGTCTGACACCCCCAGAGTCTACTCCCACCAAGTGCTTATGGCCCCATTAGCACCTGCTTGGACCCAGGCCAGGCCCGGAATCTCCATGCCCCAGGGTAGGAAGGCTCTGGCCTGGTACCCCACACTGGAAGAGTTCCAGCTGCCCTCTGCCCTGCCCACCCCCAGAGGGACAGCACCTGCAAGCAGCAGCAGGGCCCAAAGACCACACATGCCGGAGTCCACACCTGCCTGAAGGAAGCCTGGCCCTGGAGCCCACGCCCCAGCACTCTTGATCTGCCCAAGCTGGCTGTGAAGTAGGTGGTTCTGACCACTCTGGGCCTGCCCATCGCCCAGTGCTCCATTCCAGGGTCTGGAGGCCATGGTGAACTGCCTCCTTGATGTTCCTGTGTGTTTCACCCTTGGTGTGATTCTGTGCTGTGGAGACCGAGCCCCCACCCTCCATCAGCCCTCCCTGTCATCCTGTCTCTTCCTGCTCCACCTGCTGGGCTGGGAACAGGAGGGGACAGAATCCAGGCAGGTGGAGCTGATGTCGCTGCTCTATGGAGACAGGAGCATGACAGCGCCCTGGGTTCTCCACCACTGGCCCAGCACACAGGCCATCTGCTGCAGCTGCCACCTGTCATGTCTAAGCACCAGTGTCCCAGACCCCTTCCCTGAAGTCTTGTGGGTGAGCTTTCATATCTGTGCAATTGCTGGCATACAAAGCTGAGCTGTAAAAGTCAAGAGATTGCAAAGAGGCATAGAATAAAGGAACAGGAAGCATTTCAGCTCAGTCGTCCTGTTTTTCACAAAGGCCTGGGCACTGTGCTGGGCAGGCAGATGGGCTCCTCGATCCCTGGCCAGTGGGAAGGAAGGCTCTGGTCTCCGCACTCCCACGCTGGTCCCCACCCCAAGGTGAGAGGGGATCACACTCCTCTGCAGGCAGACAGACGGGCCTGCACCCTCAAGGTGGCCTCCTGGCTGGCTATGCCAGCCCCATCCAGGCAAGACGACCAGCCCGGGGCAGCCCCTCTCAGGCCCAGCTGGGCTTCTCAGCTCGCCAGGAGCGAGCTTGGTGGGGAGCAGCCTAGACCAAGGAAGGGCCCACGCACGTGCGTTTGTCCCGCTGGCACGTGTCTGTTCCGTGGTGAAGAAATGAACCCGCGCGCCGGGGCCCCGGTGGCTCCCGCCTGTAATCCTAGCTACTCAGGAAACAGAGATCAGGAGGATCGCAGCTCGAAACCAGCCGGGGCAAATAGTTCACGAGACCCTGTCTCAAAACACCTCAACAAAAAACAGGGCTGGCGGAGTGGCTCAAGGGGCAGAACGCTTGCTTAGCAACAGCCAAAACCAAAAAACAAACCTGTCATCAGTTTCAAGAACTGATGACACCTAGGATGCAATTCCGCGCTCCCCGCCCGCGGCTCACGGAGGCCCCGCCCCTGTCCCGGCCCCGCCTCCCGGAGGCCCCGCCCCTCGCGCCCGGCCTCTCCGCACTGCCGCCCCGCAGGCCCCGCCCCCGGCCTCCCCCACCGATCTCATGTGGCCATGGCGGAACCCGAGCTGCAGCTGGTGGCGCGGCGCATCCGCAGCTTCCCCGACTTCCCCATCCCCGGCGTGCTGTTCAGGTGCGGGCGCCGGGCGGGGCGGCGGGGCTCTGCAGAGCGTTGACCGCGCTGCCGGCTCCCGGTGCGGGCGCGTGGGCGGCTCGGGGGTCCTGCGGGCCGCACGACCTGGCAGCTCCGGGTCATCAGCCTGTCCTTCTGCCCAGGGACATCTCGCCCCTCCTGAAGGACCCCGACTCCTTCCGCGCCTCCATCCGCCTCCTGGCCCGTCACCTGAAGACCACGCACGGCGGCAAGATCGACTACATTGCAGGCGAGTGGCTGGACGCGGCCCCTTCCTGTTCCCCTGGGTCTCCAGACCCTTGTCCGGCAGCCTCTGACCTCTGACCCCTGCCCTGGTGTCCAGGGCCAGCCTTTACTTCCTCTGGGGTGGCGGAAGGTTAGGGGGCACCGTGAGGCAGGGTTGTGTGCTGTGGGGTGGGCTTTGGGGTCCGCGCTTGGGGTGGTCGTGCCGGGGAGCTGTAAGGCCAGACCTGCCTCCCTGTACCGGAAGGCGCACGTGGTAGGCTTGCGAAAGGCGCGGTCCCCGCTGCTAGGCGTGTCCGGGCTGGCCGGGCCTGGAGGCCTTCCTGCCATGGGCGGCACCTCCTGGATCGTGGCTGCCTCGGCGGCCTGTTGTCTCCCCACAACGTCTGACCTGAATGTCCTGGGGCCTCCTCTCGTTCCCTCTGTACAAACTTGGCTTGAAACACCCTTGGGTGCCCACCAGGAGAGGCAGCCACAAATCAGAGGGAGGAAGGCCTGAGTAGAGAGCCCTGGGAGAACAGGGTGGGCCTGGCAGACCCTGGCCCAAGGGCTGAGAGTCCACCCTTCCTGGCTCATGGTCCTGAGGGAGACTCAGCATTCCTTGGAGGTCACAGCGCCCTCTGGTCCCCTCTTCACCTCTTTCCGGAAACCCCGCTGACCACGGGAATTGGGGTACGCTTGAGTGACCCCATCACAACTCAGTCCACCTCAAGAGATGGCCAGGCTGGCTACTGCCTGTCTTGTGGATGAGGTGCCCTGAGCAGTGATGAAGGCAGGAGGTGTCCCCAAGGCTGAGGTGGAGTCTTGCAGCACAACGGTAGTCCTGGGGTGGGTATCACTGGCCTTTTAGCTGCAGCCAGCAGGACTAGGTGCCCCTTTCATAGTGGTAGCTAGTTGTCCCCTGGCCTGTCCTGATTGTCCCCATGCTGCTGTGCCACCCTACAACCCTCTCACCACCACAGGCCTAGACTCCAGGGGTTTTCTGTTCGGCCCCTCTCTGGCCCAGGAGCTGGGCGTGGGCTGTGTGCTGATCCGGAAGCGTGGGAAGCTACCGGGCCCCACTGTGTCTGCCTCCTATGCACTGGAGTACGGGAAGGTAAGCCAGCTGGACGGACGGCCAGCTGAGGGCAGGGCCTGGCCAGTGTCCTTCAGTTCTCCAAGTCCGGAAGCATGAGCTACACAGGGGCCTGAAGTGAGGCAGCTGTGGTTACAGTAGATGGGGAAGTCAGGTTGAGATGCAGGGCCAGGCTCACAGCCAGGAAACATTGTTGGGGGGTAGGGAGCAGGTGGGCAGGGGAGTGGTCACCCATATAGGCTCCCAGGCTGCAGTGTCCACTTCCTGTGCACAGGCTGAGCTGGAGATCCAGAAAGATGCCTTAGAGCCTGGGCAGAAGGTGGTGGTTGTAGATGACCTGCTGGCCACTGGTGGTAAGAGCTTCCCCCAGAGCAGACCAAGCGGTCCCAGAGGGCCAGACCTTGTCCTGGGTGCTTGGTGGGAAGGGGTGCACTTTACAGCTTATTGGTGACAAAGGGAAAGCCTTATTGCTGTCCCCTCTCCTTTTCCCCACGTCCAGAACACTGGGTCTCTTCAGCTTAGGTTAGAGCTGGGGCCTCACCCCACACCCACTCCATCTGCAGGAACCATGTGTGCAGCCTGTAACCTGCTGAGCCAGCTGCGGGCCGAGGTGCTGGAGTGTGTGAGTCTGGTGGAACTGACCTCACTGAAGGGCAGGGAGAAGTTGGAGCCAGTGCCCTTCTTTTCTCTTCTGCAGTATGAGTGACTGGGGACTGTTGCCCTTCTCCCACTCAGTATCTCCAGCTGGACCAGACAATGGCTCAGCCCCAGTGCCTTAAGTGACCTCCAGGGGCCACTAGCCACCCTTCTGACATTGTCTTGTCATTTCTCTGGCTAAGGAGTTCTGACAGTGCCAGTGTCCACCACCAGGGCCCTTCCTGCAGGTTCTAGAAGTGCCAAAGCCTGGAGCACAGACACCCCCACTGCTTCAGGCCCAGTCACCAGACAGCAATTATGATTTGAGTAAAGAGCTTTGCCACACACTGTCTCCTGTCCTGTCATCACTATCTATCTCAGTCCCCTAGGACCCTGCCCAGTATTGCCCATTTGCAAACCCAGGGTTCATTCACATCTTTCCTTTTTGTAACCTGTGCTGGTCTGAGGCCTTGCTTACCTAGTTCCTACAACAGCAGGGTCAAACATTTAAATGAACTTAATGCTGACCCATAAGGCAAACTTTTATTTGAATCTTACGCAACTCAAGCTTTATAAAATGCCAGCATTTTTCCCTCAGGCTTTAGAGTACTTAAAGTGTGAATTTTTAGACCCTCATGATTGTGCTCAAATCTGGTCATAAGTCCACAGTTGAGTTTCTTTTGCAATAGAGGCTTCTACACACAAAGTGGGGAATGTCGCGCCAGCGTGCAGCAGCTTTGGGTTAGTGTTGACTCTGGCTTTCAACAGGACCCCAAGAAGAGCTTGCGGTGGAGGGGCCCCACAAGCCTTGCAGATGAACACCACAGTGTCCTCTGCCATATGAACACAGGTGCTAGGACTAAGCTGCAGGCATGGGGGAGGGGAGGGGGACATCATTCTGCCAGCCAATGTCCAGTTCCACATGGGCAGCAAAGCCCCAGAGCCCAACGTAATCTCAATGCACCCACATGGGCAGAAGGCCCTCTGGTTGCACAGGCTACCACCTGTGCCTGGCCTGGGACCCCAGGAGACCTGGGAGGGAGGCCCACAGCGCATCCATCATGTTGGTGAAGTGAACATGGGGGACCCCACCACACGGCCGGTGCTGGCTTACAGCCCTTCAGCTCTGGCCTGGCGGGCGAGCCGTTCAGTGATGACGGCCAAGTCAGCGGCCTTGTCCAGCTTGATGTAGGTGTCAGTGCGGATGTGGTGCAGGCTGAGCCAGTCTGGCAGCAGCTCGGACAGCAGCAGAAGGTGCCTCTCCATCTCTCCTGCGGAGGGTGGGCAGTGAGCAGAGTCCCACCATATAACGCATCTGGGCCCTCCAGCCTAGCCACCCCACGCTGGGGCCTTCAGTCCCACCAACAAGCCTTCCCCACACCCATCCTGAACCACGTTTCTAAAAATACGGAATGCCTACTGTGTGCACTGGCTCCAAGCAAAGGCCCAGGCTTGGGGTCCCTGGGCAGTGCCCCCAGGAAGCAACAGGCCAGAGGCCACCAGCCTATGAAGGCGGGAGGCCATGCAGCTCTGGGACCAGCAGTCCTGTGCGCTCGAAGCCTGGTAACCAGTCCTTGGAAGGAGTGGCCACTCCCACAGGGCCTTGGGCAGCTGAGAAGTCACACCTCTGACTTCAGGGCAACAGTTTTGAGAGGGCCAGGCCATAAGGAAGTCACCTGGGAGACTGGGAGTTGGACAAAAGCTGGGGGAGCCAACCATGAGGAATGAACGGTGCCTGACACAGCAGTGCACACAGCTGGCACCAATGCACATCTGGGGAATGGAACAACCCACAGCCGACACACCTGGCCAGGAACAGGCGGATGGGCCCAGCTTCTGGTGGACACTGTCACATCCACCCTGCACCCCACCTCAACCTGCACATACCTAGGCTCAGGGTGGCACAGCAGCTGCCCACCATCCTGGAGCAGGCCACCTCCATGGTGAGCGCAGGCTTGCGCTCAGCCACAAAGACACTGCGCAGCACCCGTGCCAGCTCGGGCAGCCGCTCCAGCCGCTGCAGCCGCAGCTCCTGCTCAGGCCGCCGTGTCATCTGTGCCAACTGCTTCTGGGCCTCCTTGGCACGGATCTGCACAGGTGTTGGGGGGCAGCAGGGAGGTCAGCAGCAGCAACAACAGGTCACCACAACTCCCACCCAGCACTGAACTCACCCGCTCCAGCAGCGCCTGGGACACGCCCTTCAGGGCTCGGGGAGAGGCAGCAGGTGGGGTGGCTGGTGGGGTGGCAGGCAAGGCTGGGCTGGGGGACCTGGGGCTACTGGGCTCAGCTGAGTGCAGAGCCAAGTGATTCAAGGCCTTCTCCATCTGCAGGTGGGCACAGGTCAGAGGGGAGAAGTCACAAGAGGCAATGTGGCGCAGCCAGGCCAGAGAAGCCCAGCTCTTCCTGGACCCCCACCCAGGGGCCCCCAGCACACTGGGTGGCCTATGGTTCTCCACTCCTCCCAATAGACATACACAGATGACCTGGGCTGTTCCCCACGAAGGGCAGGTGGCACAGGGCACATCCTATCAGCTCTCTGGGCCCTTGGCAGAGCCAGATGGTGACAGGAACCCCAGGACAAAGAGCCGAATCAGGGCGCAGCCAGCCTCACCCTGGGTGACATGAGGCTGCGGGCACGGGCCAGCACCTCCTGGGCAGTGGTGAGTTTCTCTGTGGTGGGTGGCTGGGGAAGCTCGGCTGGTTCAATATCAGGCACTTGGTCCACATTGAAGCGCGGGTGCCAGCGCGTCAGCTGATCCTCGGGCACTGCCATGGGGGGGTTCAGGGAGGCTAGAAAGGCCTGCAGAGGATGGGATGGGTGTTGGGCTACCCAACTAACTCCAGGTGGACAGCCATTTAACCCTTCTGTGTCCAGGCACCGGGCCAATAAAAGAAAGCACCCTGCCACGTACACAGGCAGCACTCACTAAATTCCATCAGGTCTGAGGTTACTCCTGAGACCCCAACTACAGGGCTCCTAGAAGCCTTTGCCCAGCTCCAGCCCACTGTGCCGCAGGTGCTAGCAGATGTCCAGCCAATCCCTCCCCACCTCCTGAGACAGCGTGGCAAGGGGCTTGAGAGAAACCTCCCAAACCCTATGCTTGCTGTTGGCGCAGTCCTCTGGGCCTGGTTAAGACAGAGCTGCTGGTGCTGAACGAGGGGCTTGGCCCTCAGGTGAAGCCGACTTTTCCTATGATAGGGACTGAGCCTGCTCACTGGCTTTGATCAGCTGAGTCTCACCTTGTGGTGCTCCTTGACACGCTGCACCAGGTTCTGGCTGAAGACCTGCCGCCGCTGCAGGAGGCACGAGGCCGTGAGCTGGGGGACAGCACCACCAGGGTCTGCGGGGAGAGTCCAAGCTGACCCTCAGGCCTGCCCAGCCCATGACCCAGGTCCAGGTCTGGGGCCAACTCATGCCCACCCTCAAAATGTGTGAGTCTCAGGTGCAGAAACCCAAGTCTAAGGTGAGCGAGTGTGGCCGAGGCCAGGCCATGGGGCCGGTGTCCAGCACTCACCCTTGTCCAGCAGTGGCTCGATGGTGAGCTGGTAATCAGATCTCTTGGTGCCGTCCTTGAAAGTGGGCACATTGCGCTCCTGGCGGAAGCGGTAGGACATGGGATACACAGTTTTGATCTGGCCCACGTTGTGCTCCTCAAAGCGCCTACATGAGGAGGGGCTGGGTCAGAAGGAAGCAGGCAGGGCCACAGGGGACACTGAGGACAGGCCGAGCGCACCGCAGGCCACTCACTTGCGCATCATGTCCTGGACACCCTGCTTGACCTTGGCAAAGGTGACAGTCTCGGAGCGGTTGTGGAGCATGCCCACGATGGTGTCCATGCTGCGGAACATCTCAGCCAGCACCTGGTACTTGTAGGGCAGCACGAGGCCCGGGGGCCCCGGCTGGGCCAGGGCATGGAAACGCTGGTAGGCAGGCACCATCTCGCCACTGTTGGAAGGCACGGGCCTCATCAGACACGTCAGACCATGCTCCTCCAGCACCCAGCAGCAGGCCGCAGGGCCACGGGACCTCTCAGCCAGGGCTGCAGAACTGCACACACCATTTTCAAGACCCTCCCAATGCCCCCTCCCCACTTGTGAAGCCAGAGTTAGGGAGAAGACAAAAGTCTGGTCCACACGCCAGCTCTGCCTCACCCACCCAGTGGCCTGGCCCAGCTTCCTCAGTTCTGAGGCCTGGAGAAGACAGGGCAGTGATGCACAGTCAACATTCAACACCCACAAGCTGGCCATGCTGTTCAGAACCTGCCACGGCAGGACTGACCACCCCCCCTTTCAGATGGTGGCCTGGGTGTGGAGCTGGCAAGCAGCACAAACTGGGGCCTGTCTGGGTGATATGGCTTTGCATCCTGCTGGCCACACTAGCTCTCTCCCTGGAAGGAGTAGCCCCCCAGGCCTGCCATCAGCTCATACTCCCCAGGGTACCTGACCACCCACTTAGGACTCACCATGGCTGCTCTGCAGGTTCCTCAGCCTCCTCCTGGACTCTGGCCCTCAGAGCCTGGACCCGAGCCCCCAGCTCCCGTGCCCGCTGCAGGCAGGACCGGAACTCAGAGATGGAGTCCTTCGCCAGGACCTGGGGACACAGAGCACTGTCAGGTCAGGCAATCACTCCACAGCACCTCCCATGGCCTGACCCTGGTCCAGCCTCCTCACCTTGTCCTGCTGGAGTGTGGGGTGGGGCAGAGCACTGGCTGACACAGTGGCTTTCTTGATCCTCTTGCCCAAGGAGGGAAGAGTGGGGGTGCTGGTGGCAGCTGGGGAGCTGGTGGCTGGGGTGCTGGTGGCGGCTGGGGAGCTGGTGGCATCTGGGGAACTGGTGGCAGCTGGGGTGCTGGTGGCGGCTGGGGAGCTGGTGGCATCTGGGAAGCTGGTGGCAGGGGAGCTGGTGGCAGGGGTGCTGGTGGCAGCTGGAGACTGGGACAGGAATTCTAGCAGGAAGGAAACCATGGGTGAGCACATGACAGGACAGGGATAGGGCTGGCTTGCACAATCAGAACTGGACTGTGAACTAACTGGACACCCCAGGATCAGGAGCCAGAATGTTGGGGTTGTGCCTGCCCATCAAGGTCTTCCCTGAAGCAGCCAAGAGGGGCCGGCCGACCTTGCCTGTTCAGCCGGTTCATTCTTACGGCAACCTCCGGGACTGAGCCCTGGCCTAGCTTTGAAGATAGGCCAGGCTTTCCCAGCCACCAGCTCAGTCAGGCCCTAGCTGGGACCCTCCCGCGGCTCCTCCCCATCTCAGGAGCCACAAGGCTCAACTCCTTGCAGGGCACCGGGCGCCGCAGGTCCCCCGAGACCCGCGTGCGCACCCTGCGTGCTCCAGATGTTGCGGACTCGCGGTGGCTCGGATCCCCTCTGCGTCCACCGGCAGGGGTGTCCTCCCCCGGGGGCTGCCCCTCTCTCTCCCTCAACCCGTCTTCCTTCCCTGCCCCCTAGCCTCAATCTCTCCGGCCTCGGTCCTTCCACCCCGCCCGGTCCCCGCCTCACCGCGTCGTGCAGCCGCAGCCTCCGGCGCGCGGGCGGCGCGGGCTGATCGCTCCCGGGTGCGGCGGGCGGCCGGGCGCGCTTGCGGCTGCCGGCCGGGGTGGGGACGGGGTCTGTGAGTCCGGCGGGGCTCGGGGTGCGGCAGACCGTCTTGGTCCGCGGCACGGCGGGGCCGGGACGACGGCGCGCGAAAAAGTCGGTAACACGGCTCTGAGCCATGGCGCGGGAAGGCGCGCTCGCAGTTTTCGCGCGGTTTTCGCGGGGTTTTCGCGGCGCCGGCTCCGCCCCGTCCGGGCCGTACCATCGGGCGGAGCGCGGAGAGGGGAAACCATGGACGCATCGGCGCATGCGCACTAGTGTGCGCCTTGCGCCCAGCCGCTCCAACGCCCGGCACCGCCCCGCTTCGGCTGCACCATCGGGCCGAGTACGCGGGGGGGGGGGCCGTACAAGACGCACGTGCATTGGCGCGCGGCTGTGAGGTCACTACGCATGCGCCCTAGATGTCGTTTCCGCGCATGTCCACGCTGTCACACGTATGCCGCTCACTTCCCGCGCGTAATTTGCACTCGGGAGCGCGCCAGAGTCCAGGCGCGTGCGCGGCAGGAGCGTGCCAGGTTGCCCCGGCGCCCACTCGAGCCTCACCGCGCCGCGTGTCCCGCGCGCCAGGCCGAACCTGGCAGAACTGAGCGGGCGGGCACCGAGCCGGGTATAGCTGTCATCGGGGGAAGGGAGCTGCCTCGGAATAACTTGCTGGCTCCCTAACTCTCTGCTTCACATTTGCCAAATGAAGAAACACCTGGTCTCAGACGCAAAGGCAGCTGGACCTAACCACAAGCGAGGGAGGGGTCAATATCCGTCTCCCGGCGTGATCGTTGTCCCAGTCCCTGTCCCGCAGAGAAAAGCCTAGGATGGGATGGGGCCAGGAGGCCCCTCCAGGCCTGCAAATCGCCGAGCAGACGCGACCAGCATTTCGTTTCTCCTCTGCCTGCCAACCCACCAGCCTGACCACACAGTGCTGCACTGCTCCTGCATGGGCGTGAGAAATTTAGGGAGGCCACCCAGGAGGGGGATGCGCTTCCCACCCCCCCCCCCACCTGGCTGCAACAAGCACAGCACTGCCAATCATTGCCCACTCCTTCCTCCCAAAACTCCTGAGAATGGCCGTGCTGTATGTACTGTCATTTTGGCAGAAGCAGGGCCTAGGGAGCCCTGAGTAGCTCTGGGAAGAAGCTGCACCAATGACAGATAACAGTTCACAGGGGGCTCCTAGAATCCAGAACGTGAATCTAAAATATGCCCGCCCTGTGAGATGAAGGGCCAAGGATTTAGAAGCTTCAGAAGAGGTTTCGAAGTTTGGAGAATGGGGGTGTGACTGACATTCATTCCTCATGACCAGTAAATAGGATGCCCCATGCACTGGGGGTCTTTATGACCCTGCCTCACACTATAGCCAATGTCGGTTCTGGTGGCTCAGGGTGCAGCCATGCCAACCATTCTATATTTTTAATGTCACCCCTGGAAAGTAGAACTTTGGGGTGACTTAGCCTTGTCGCTTCTCAGATACTTGCCTTGCTTTGCTACAGTGATGGGTTTAGGGGCCACATTTATACGGTGGGACTAAGATGAGAGCCAGTAGCTCATCCCTGTAATCCTAGCTACTTGGGAGGCTAACATTGGGAGGAGCAGGGTTCAAAGCCAGCCCAGGCAAATAGTTTGTGAGACTCCCCAGTCTCCAAAATAACCAGAGCAAAATGGACTGGAGGCATGGCTCAAGCTGTAGAGTGCCTGTTTGCAAGTGTGAAGCTCTGAGTTTAAAGCCCAGTCCCACCAAAAAAAAAAAACCAAACAAACAAACAAAAAAAACTATACTATGGGACCCTGCCTCTGGCCACAGCTGATTGGATGAGTGGTACACAACTGAGCCAATCAGATGCTTTTCTTGGGACCAGAGACTCCAGAGTTGGAATCACTCATCCAACTCTGAGGTGACAGCCACCTTCCTCCGTGTATCTGGTGTGAAGACCGACAGCAGACCAACTTGTGTGGACCCAGAGACAGACAGTCAAACACGTATAACTCAAACAATTTTACTCTTCTTTTTTTTTGGTGGGGAGGGGTTGTGTTTTTCAAACAATTTTAAATAGGCTCCCACTTGGTCTCTTGTGAGGCCCTGGCAGCTCTCCACCATGCCCTAGATTTTAAGGAAGTGGCTAATTTCTCCCCACACATTTTCCTCTTTTTCTTAAAGTGTCTGTGACTAGGTTTCTCTTCTAACCCAAGGACCCTTGATTAAAGCATAGTCATAAAGGTCGATCCAGATGAGGCTGGATTAATAGAAATACATAGTCTGGAACAGCAGAGCTGAAAATGCTTTTCTTCCCAGTGCGGTCCAGTTTCCACTTGAATAACCATGTTGGCAGATAGATATGGAATGCTAAGAAGACATGATCTGATTAGACTGCCTCCAAGGGAGAGACTAGATAGCAGAAGGGCTAGAATCCTTATCTGTGGATGTTTACCCTGGAGAAACGTGGAGATTGGAGTCTGTGCCTTATTCAATCAGCCAATATTTACAAATGCCCACTAGGCGTCTGCCTGCTGAGGACCTATTACAGGGTGAGCTGCCAGGGGCCAAGGATGCCACCAGGTTGAGAACAAGGAAGACATCACCTCATCACCATCACTACCACCACCACCACCACCGTCATCACTATCACCATCACCACCACCACCGTCATCACTATCAACATCACCACCACCACCACCACCATTGTCATCACTATCAACATCACCACCACCATCACCATTGTCATCACTATCACCACCACCACCATTGTCATCACTATCACCATCACCACCACCATTGTCATCACTATCAACATCACCACCACCACCACCACCACTGTCATCACTATCACCATCACCACCACCATTGTCATCACTATCAACATCACCACCACCACCACCACCATCGTCATCACCATCACCACCACCACCACCACCACCACCGTCATCACTATCACCATCACCACCACCACCGTCATCACTATCAACATCACCACCACCACCACCACCATTGTCATCACTATCAACATCACCACCACCATTGTCATCACTATCAACATCACCACCACCATCACCATTGTCATCACTATCACCACCACCACCATTGTCATCACTATCACCATCACCACCACCATTGTCATCACTATCAACATCACCACCACCACCACCACCACCACTGTCATCACTATCACCATCACCACCACCATTGTCATCACTATCAACATCACCACCACCACCATCACCATTGTCATCACTATCACCACCACCACCATCGTCATCACCATCACCACCACCACCACCACTGTCATCACTATCACCAACAGCAACACCATCCCCACCATCACTATGATAACCATACTCAGATGATTAGAATCGCCATAGGTCCTGAGTTTGGCCCACAACCGTGCTCTGACCATGCCTACTTCCCTAGGACCCATCCCAGATCCCTGCGAACTGCTCCTTGCCAATCTACTCAGTCCATACTGTGTTATGAACAGCTTCCCCTAGCTGCTGTCCACTGCATCCTGGTGCCATTCATATGTAACAACACCAACAGCCCAGGGCTGGACAGTGCTTCACAGGTTTCAAAGCCATTTCGTGAAACAGTAATAGCCAGCCTCTGCTGAGGGTTGCTTTGAGCACAGCCTTGCCCCCCATGACTGGAATGCCTTGCCAGTCTCACCCTCAAAGTAAGCCTGTAAGTAGTGCCCATGTGCGGATGAAGAAGCCTAGATTTGAGGGGTGCAAAACTGGCAATCTAAGGGTCTGGTCTGCACCCCACTTCCACCTCTCAATTGGCTGCTCTCCTTCCGCAAGGGCACAGACAGAAAGGGGTGACTGATGGGGAGCACATGCTTGTGGGATCCCCTGGGTCCTACAGACAGCCTGTCAGTCACTGCAGCCACGGGGGAGTGTTTCATGGTCTTGGCTTATAACTTGAGGTCTGTGGCCAAGTCTAGAGGAGCTTTCACCTTCCATGAAGGCTTCTGGGTCTCAGCCAGGATCCATCTGCACTTGGCTCCCTGTCTGCCAGACAACCTTGGAATCCATTACGGGTGGGACAAAGCAGGAGGGTGGAGAAGACACTACTGTTGCCCAAGTCACCTGACCTGGGCAGTCTTCTCTCCTACCCAAGCCTTGACCTCCTTATCTATACCAGGGGATCTCCTGGAACCTGTGGCAAGGGTCCTTGGAAAAAGGAACTGAGTTTTCCATATTTGTGTCGATGACAAATACCCTCTTGTCACAGTTGAAACAGTTGGTTTCAGAGTACCAGGATGGGGAGAGGGCTAACTTTACCCCACACATGTGATTTCAAGTTTTCTAGTAGCTACATTTAAAAAGCAAACAATCAGGTGGCAAGAATTTTAATAATGTTTTAAGTTTTATCTATCATCTCCAAAATGTTTTCTTTCAATACATAATCAATATAAAATTTGTTAGTGGAGTTGGGCGCCAGCGGCTCACGTCTATAAACCTAGCTACTCAAGAGGCAGAGATCAGGAGGATTGAGGTTTGAAGCCAAGCCCAGGCAAATAGTTCCGTGAGACCCTATCTCAATAAAACCCTTCACCAAAAAGGGCTGGTGGAGTGGCTCAAGGTGAAGGTTCTGAGTCCAAACCCTAGTACTGCAAGAAAAAAAAGAGAAAAAAAAGAAAAGAAAGAAAGTGTGAGGCCAGTGATGTCACACCACCACCACCACCACCACCACCACCACCTACCACCACCACTATCACCACCATCATCACCACCATCACCATCACCATCACCACCATCATTTTGGTTGAATTTACAGTTCCACCTCGACTTGCCGCATGGCCTCAGGTAGGATCCTAACTTCACCACACCTGATTCCTTTCCTATAAATCGAGGTACAATGCTTTCTTTCCTAGGTGGAAGGCAGCAGGTCAGGACTTGGTGGTGGTAGTGGTGTGACAAGAAACGTGGCTGGTGCTGTGTCCTTGGCCCTGCCCTGTGGTCCGCACAAGGGGTCTTGAGGTGTCAGTCCGGGCTTCATGGCCCCACCTCCCACAGCAGGATAGCAGCCCACCTGGGCCACATGTGGAACCAGGACGGTTCCTGAGCTGCAGAGTCCTCAGTGCCTGCACAGCAAGCAACTGTCACAGCACCAGCTTCCTGCCCACATAGCCAGG